GTCTAAAAACCTTTTAAAAATCTTATGAAATATAAAAATATTAATGAATTCACTTAGTCGCTAATAATAGTATAGAGAATATGCTATTAAAGAACGGTGTCTAAATATATTTTAAATATCACCTTCGGCTAATGAATATAGAAGGAAAGCTGAGTTTAGTTTTGTCTTGGATAAATTTATACATAGTGAATAAGATATGTGGTTTGTGGTAGTATGGAGTTATGGTGGTATGTTTTATAAAAGATAAATATTCCGATACTTCTGCTTACCATGGCGGGAATTATCAAAGAGGGATGATAACTAGACATAAGTTTCCCTAATAGACGAAACATACTTTTTGTGTTTGATAGAGCAAAAATATAGTACGCCATAGGCCTGTTAAGAGGTTTTTTTTTTATTTAATGGGTGATAATGGAATGGTAACCCTGCCTGAGCTATCGGTATACACTGGCGGAGCACCAGTGAGGGATGATAGGTGACGATGAAAGCAGGTCAGTTAGCCGTGACAAATTGCACTAGAATTAACCACAATGGTTTTCCACGGGGAACACATGGAGGTTAACCTGATAGGGTATATTGCTAGCAATGGGTTAGTTAGACCTCATTACTAACACCCTCTCCCTGTTAAAGGTGTGCCAGATGAGCCGTACCAACCTCAGAATATCATGTATATATGATTGATGAGAGATATATATTTACCTTTTTTAAAGGGCCTGGCCCACTCTGGACAATAATCTTAAATATGTCAATGTAGTGTGCAGTACTTTTTTTTAATATTTAGGACAGCGTACGAAGGGAGTAGAAAAATACACCAAAATATACAGGCGTAAGTAAAGGATCACTTGAAAGATTGTGTCCCACAAAAAAGAAAACCGACTTAATTGTGATTAAACCAGTTATTTTGTTAAAAAAATCAATTTTGATTGATTTAGTATATTATTGATAATAGATAATACACATTCGTTTCTTTATATCCAGTTGAATGAGACGTAAAACAATTTAATACTCGTAATAACACCAAATTTGTATTTTTAAATATCATTCTTGGAATTTTAAATTATTTATCATCTCTTTACATATATTATTACTTTGATTGACAGTTTCTGACGCTACCTATGTAATTTACAAAACTTAAGAATAGTGATAAATAGACTTTCAAATAAATCGACCACATAATTACTAGTTTGAAGGCGAAAATAACGATGGTACAAAAGTGTAAGCTTATTCGACAAATGGCGGCGTGAAATTGGAACAAACGCGCATAAAACGTTTATTGTAAAGTCATTAATGGTTTAGTAATGGCTTACGTGGTAATAGTCAGTATTTTTTTCGGTAATGGCATGTGATGTATAAGTTTTTCCATAAAAATGACATAGTTTAATTAAATTCTCGAAAAATCGTAATTTACGCTCGTAAAATAATACCTCCCTGTTATATCTAGTCATTATAATTTCATCAGGTGGGCTGACAAATACTTTGACGACCGACCATTGTTTGATATAAATTGCAACCCACGGTCTTTACCGCATAATGCCTACATATATACGTATTTTCTTTGTCCATAATGTATTCCTACTATAGAATTCCAATCCTTCAAATCTATTAGGAAATAAACAATCATCTTTACAAAGATTTAAAATACTAACTTTTTCAACTAACTTTAATGTAGGAGGAATTTTTTTGTTACCTCATAACTCCGTCGTTTATGAATCGATTTGGTTTTTAAATCAACTGATTGGGCCACGATTGAAATCGGTTTTTTTTTTGTGAAACACAATCTCAAATTATTGTTTGATTATTTAAATCTCAAAGACAGTTCTCACTGTTTCAGATGTTTTCTGGTCCCTGTTGAATTGATTTCACCCCTTCCTACCACAGTAAAGGGACCATTCGAAAAATTTTTTACATTCAATACATAAACAAGTCTACGAGGGCCTACGAGCCATATGAAATTACTACCTACTAGTAAAATCTTATCTGTGTTATTATAAAAGCCAAATTCAATTGGTGTACCAATATATGACAGGATTAACTCAAAAGGGTAGCAAAAGGCTTATAAAAGTTTTTATGCATACAGCTTCGCTGGACTATATAGCATAGCCGACTTTTGACCTTTGCCACCTAGCCTATTAGCCTTTTATGGTTATTGCAAGGGTGTATTTTATGTCATGTCGGACATTTTTTAGATACCGTAGAGTAAAGGCATTGTATTGATTATGATTGCCGTAGAAATAACACTTATCTGCGCTGAGTTTCTTAGATATAGACATGTAATATTCTAAAAAAAAACAACTAACACGTTGATGAAATAGTTTTATAAGTTAGTACCTAGCTGTCGAGGGAAAGAGATTATTAGTACGGGGGCGGGTTCAAAAGCCCCCATTTCTTGCATTATACTCTATTAAGCCGACCTCCACATGGTGCCTCCCCTTAAAAACCTCACGATTAATTTTTGTTGAATTTGTCACGATAGCCCAATTGATCTGCTTCCCCCTCGCCTTATCACAATTCACAGGTACTTCGCCAGAATAAAAATAAAAAAATCAAGGTAGGTGTTTATTTAATATCCATATGCTCGTATGATGAACAAATATGTTAATTTGAAATTTATTATTTTACATTAGATACTTTTAGAATAATAATAACTTTAATATTTTAATATAATAACTACCGGTTTAACTTAAGTATAATTTAATCGAAAAACTTCGACTAGTTTTAGAATCAACCAGGACCTTTAGTCTTAGGCGGTTGTAAAATAAGTACGAGCCTAAGTTTAATATGTTAATAAAATTTTTATTTATTCTGATCTTTGTAATAGATATATCATCAAAATAATTTCAATTTTTTATACAAACGGTCTGCACAAAATTAAACAGGGAAATCGATTTTGTTTGTTCTTATTTAATAATAGTTCAAGCTGTTTCCAATAATGCTCGTGTCACGCTTGTCACCCACTCAATGAAGGCAGAAACAATGGAACATTAAACACCTATCGTTATGTTGTGTTTGATTCAAACAAGGCCTCCTTCGTCTCCTCCACATTCATCAATTTAAATATTATGAGCTCGCCGTTTACGGGTATTTTTAACTTGGCCCATTTTAATATGTCACCTATTTAGTCAATTTTAAAAAAAATATTAACTAGTTTTTCCCCGTAACTTCGTCTGCATGACCGCGATACGTTGATTGACCGCAATAAAAGGTAGCTTATTTCCTTCTCTATTTCAAATACTTCGTGTATACAATATTTCATTGATTGAGCCGTTAGTACGTAACAAGCAAACACACCTTCACATTTATAATATTAGTAAGAATAGTGAGTTTTCTGCATTTGTATGCATACAATCGGATTATTTGTATACTTGTATGGGAATGTCAAGTGTTATAAATGTCCTGAAAATGGACACATAACTGATGAATAACATATTTATTTATTTACACTTTATTGCATCATTTATAAAAATAATAAATGCAAGTAATTTTAATGATTAATTTTAATAATTGGTACTCTAATATTAATCAGCACCGACATTAAATTGTTATTGATTGGTTTTTTAACACACTATTATAATTTTGTTATTATTAGCTGAATAAATAGAAAAAGTAGTAAAGGTGTAAAGTCACTTATATGTATGCATTAAATGTAATGTATCTTATACCCAATAATAATTTTGCATGCTTTAGACTATAAGGCGAAGTATAAATGGTACTTCACAATAGATCAATATCTGTAAAAAACAATGTACTGGCAAATAAACAAATCTAATCTAATCTAATGAGAAGCAACACAAATTGCGGCCTTATCGCTAAGCAATCTCTTCCAGCCAACCTTTGGGTAGAGGATATTAAGTAAAAAGACCAAGGGTAGGTGGCGCACTATTATATAGATACTAATATTACAAACATATATACAAAATTATATGTATACATACACATTATGTGTTTGACCAGAAATAATAAAGCACGCCGTTTTTTTTGGTATTGCAAAAAATAACTGAAACATTTTATTTGTTGTTATTCACGTACATCCCGACGAATAGTGTCTAAATGTGTTTTATGATAAAAGTTCATTCGACAGAAATAAAAAAAAATCTCTCGAAATATCTAAACTTATAGGATCTTACATACAGATGCAACAGTATTATGTATATAACCCCTATGTACAGAATACACGGAAAGTTACGTCCAAGAAAGTACGTTGGAAGGCGCCATAATTCGTGATGTTTATCTGTTTTACTGTGTCAAGGTCATGGCCAGTTGTGGGGTGACTAATCGTAAGGCGTCCACCTATTTGTTGACATTATAAATATCGATTGGGATTGTGACACGTGCCTCATTTTCAGATTTCTTATCTATCATCACGCTAGGCGCCACTTCCTATATTAGGTAGACAGAGAGAATTGTTAACAAAGCCCTTAATTCTAACATTTTGTACTCCACACGAGCTACAAGTTTATTGAAAGTTTAAAACTGTAACTATAAAATTATTTTTTACTTTACTTCAAATTTATTCATATTAGTAGCAGTTGTGTTTGCATGGCTGTGTTTCGGTTTGAAGAGTGGGATAAGGCAGCGAATTTACAGGGTATAGAGGCATAACATCTTAGTTCTTAGGAATAGCAACGCATGGGAAGGAAGAGGGAGCGTCATGGGCGAAACAGTATATTCTGTTATGTCCATGGCACTGTTTATGTGTATAGGCGACGTGACCGTTGTCACTTCCCATCACGTAGGCCGTCAGCTTGTTTGTCATTCTAAGTTGCAATAAAAATTAATAGTTTTGAAGCTACACTTTATCATTTTAATTCAAAATATATATTTTATCTAGACGTAATGACAATTTAAAATTGTTCAATAATTTTCGAAAATTGGTAGATCATTCCGAGCTTGCCACATTTGGCTAAATTTCGATATGAACGCTCTTAAGTATATAAATGTCTAGTTTCTTTTATAAGAAAAAAAAAAAACAAATATGTATGTAAATTGTTTCTATCTCGCAGAGTTCCCCGCCACCATTCTGCCCGGCCGGCCGTACGAATGATGACGCCGCCATCGTATCTATCATCGAGTCTGCTGAGGAGTTTGTATACATATCCGTGATGGACTACGCGCCTGCACTCGAGTTCACACCTAAATTGAAGTGAGTCAGTTACTACTTATTTGCAGTATACCATGTCAGTTTAATGTCCAAGTCTAATGGGAATCATTGCGGTTTATTTCTGATGAATTCGGCACGATGATGGGTCAACAGACCTGGCTTCATTATTACCTATCATTCCTCACAGGTACTCCGCCTGCATATACCGATAATGCAATGATGGAGGATAATGGAGTTGCCTTTTTATCACAAAAAAATAATGTTTCCATTTTGCAAATTCGTAGTGCTTCGAAGGTTCGAAGGGAGGATATTGACTGCCAAACCCTTCCTACGAATGGAAAGTATGCCACTATATCTGTTAGTGATTACTATTACTAAGAGGTATAAAGGCATAATACTTTAGTTTTCAGGAATAACAATGAATAATTTTTGGAGGAAAATGTAAAGAGTATCTATTTTTCTATCTATCTAAGTTACTTTGTTCATGTTTATAATAGGTACTGTGTTCATGTCTAAATATAGATGACAGAGAAATGGTAAATTTCACATTAGATGAGCCACCAGCTTATTTGTCATAAGTCGTATAAAAATATATATTTATGTGGGTATACAGAGACTTACAGAGTTTTAGGAAAATCACTATAATCCAATTTAACCACAGAATATTTACGCATCCATCTGTGACAAAATCTATCTCTATTTTTATAACAAAAAAGTCTATCGATCACCGAGGGATTTTGGGTCGGGGTAGTAAATCGCTCTTTACGACGCAAATTACTCTCTTTATTCTTTATTTATTCCCTGTATTTAATAACTATTTATGGATAAATAAAGAAATTAAGACTTATTATTTAATTTGCTTTGTTTTTTATTTTATTAGAGGGAGACTTTGTACAAAAGTTGTTTGCTTGGGTACCTCTGTCCCATTCGTGTTTCAATCGTAAAGCAGTTGTGTTTGCATGGCTGTGTTTCGGTTTGAAGGGTGGGATATGGTGTGAATTTACAGGGTACAGAGGAATAACATCTGAGTCCTCAGGAATGGCAACGCATGGGGGGTATCATGGGTGAAACAGTATACTCTGTTATGTCCATGGTACTGCTCATGTCTATAGGCGACGGTTACCACTTTCTATCAGGTGGACCATCAGCTTGTTTGCCATTCTAAGTTGTATAAAAAAAAAAATTCTTCAGTACAAAATATGTGTACAAGACGGACTTAATGTTAAAAGCACTCTTCCAGTCAACTTTAGGAAAGTGTTAGAATATTCGAATGCGGTACTAGTATTAATTGAGATACATATATGCTAAAATTTACATAAACACACAAATACATATAAATAAGAAATATGTTTATAAAAGATGTGTTTATATATAAGATCAGAAGAGTAGATAATATTTACTGCTCGGATGAAATTAAAAAAAGTAAAATTGTAAGTGAACATTAACCTTTCTTATTTATATCTATTTCATGTTATTGTTACGTCGTAAATGTAGTTTACGGATCAAATAATAACAACAATCCCTTAAAAATCCCTCGCATTCGCAGGTCTTAGTATACATAATTACCAAAGAGAGTGTAATATTTTTTACATATTACCAGTGTTGTTTACCCAAACGTGTAATGACCTAGTAGTAGGATAAAGTTCGCCTATTGTACTTATAATCTCTTTCCATGTTAGAACTTTTCATTGTACAATAAAATGTATCTATTTATACTAATAAACCGTAAGAATCCCTGAAACTATCAGTTGGAGTAAAAAAATATTATTGAATTTGATAACTTATTTTTTGGAAGGTTAGTAAATCTATTCAATGTCACGTTACGACCATGGGTGAAACTGTGGGATATAGCTAGTAATAAAAATAAATCGAGTATCAATTTCTAGGTTCTGGCCAAAGATCGACGACGCAATCCGCAAAGCGGCCCTGGAGCACAAGGTGAAGGTGAAGATGCTGATCAGCTGGTGGAAGCACTCGCGACCTTCGGAAGACTATTTCCTGCGCTCGCTCACTGCGCTCTCCAAGTCGTATCCGAGGGTCGATATACAAGTGGTTAGTATATATATATAATGCCAGTTTTTGGTCGCAAATATGACCACGTGACCGGGATAAAAATAAGCCTATGTCCTTCTTTACGCCAATGAACTAATTATAATGAAATGAAATATTTCAGATGAAGAAAGATATAGGCTAAGTAATAAATATATATTTAATAAAATATTTTCATAAAATTGATTCTATGGCACCATTATGTAATTTTTTAAATGAAGATTTCAATTTGTAATTACAGAGGCTTTAAATTTATTTTAAATTTAGTTTATAGTGGCCCATAATATGGTACACATACATTTACACATATTATGCATAAAAATTGTGTATATCGTCATTATGTTACTTTTTTTAGTATTTCTATAATTTTTGTGTATTTTTTTGAATAATGCCACAGAATCTCTCCCAACGTCTATATAGACAAGGCCCATTCTTTTTTTTTAAGTATTTTTTTTTTATTTTAAGGGCTTTTACCTTCTTCAGCTATATCGTATCCTGAACTGATTTCTCATATAAAGTTTTATCTTCTTTCCTTACTTACAAGAGATTAAAAGAGGAATTAATAGGTATCAATAATCTACAGAGATGTTACAAAATTTCTGACTTGAGTTCGGCTAATATAGATTGAATAAGATCAATATTTAAATTAATGTTTTGCTAACTATGTTTCAGAAACGGTTTATAGTACCCTCGTCGCCTGAACAAGACAAGATACCGTACGCTCGGGTCAACCACAATAAATATATGGTGACTGAACGTACTGCGTACATAGGCACCTCAAACTGGTCCGGCGATTACTTCACAGACACTGCCGGGGTCGCGTTTGTGTTGCAAGAGGACCCACATGGAACAATCCAGAATGTCTCTCAAGACATTAGAAGAGAACTACAAGAGGTATTCGAGAGGGATTGGACATCTCCATACGCGGTACCATTAATCAAGTTATAGCGTTACTATTTTTAATAAATCTGTAGGTAATTATAGTATAATAAATCTTGTAAAGCTGCCATTGAAACAGCTCCAGTGGACTTTAGATTTTAAGTATATGAACTTAAGAACTTACATTTGTGTATTGCATTGTTGCATTTTTCTATATACAAAAACTGACTTCATTATTGGTAAAAAAATTTATGGGACAACATTGAAATAAAGTATTTAAAAAGTCTAACTAAAATCGGTTCAAAATTAGTGGAGATATAGTGTAACAAAAAACATTCGAAATAAGAACCTGTTTGAAGTCGCTTTATAAAAATAGATTATTTTTATTTTTTGCTTTTTATATTTTATCTATTCCGAAATTTATTATGAATTTTTGTTTAAGGTTTCTTTTTCATAGACATTACTTTTATGTTTACTGTAATAATCTGATTGTCTTGTGTCTAAGATCGTCAATAATTTTATATACTCGAAATATAACTCGGAATTTAGTCCGTTTTAAGATTTCATGCCGTAAGGTATATTTTTAAATCTAGATATTTGATACTTTCCTGTGATCTTAAAATTTCATAGTTTCAAAAAGATGTAATATAACTAAATTTTAGTGAATTTCTATGAAATATAGAAGTATTAGTAGAATGCTAAAGATATAGATAATACTGTGCTTTAGTATGACAGTGTGCCTTCAAACTTTAAACTGTATGGTCTGGAAGATTGAGTGTATGAATTTAGATTTTTATATCTTCCTAGTATTAACTATGTACTTTCTAGATATTTAAAATATAACTACTTATGTCTACTATGAAATAAAACTATTTGTTTGTTACATAGTTCTAAATATGCGTGTGAAGTTTTGTCCTATGAATTTAATATGTATATTTTCTCAAATTATTAAAAATGCAGACAAAATCACAATGACAGTAAAAAAGTCATAAGATTTTAAACATAATACAATGTAATTATAAATAATACATATCAGTATTTATTTTTATGTAAAATGACTATTTTTTAAATATACTATATAAATTATATATAATAGATAATAAAAAAAATAATGTACTAAATAAAATAATTAATATAATAATTTTACACGATATGTAAAAACGAGATGCGATATAATACTGATTACTATTGGAATTATACTCTTAATGCTGATCTCTTACTTTCAATGGTAGTTTTTTATTTTATAAACTCAAATATAGGGGCAGTAACCATAAGTTACTACCCTTCCCCCTTTGCCCTTGATAAATAGCAAACGGTATCATCGTTGAAGTTCTAATTCCGCGTAAGTCAATGTTCTATACATTACAGGAGTTCCTAGAACTTAAAGATTTTTATTTTTGTTTGTATTCTATCAAATTTATTGTATTTTAGCTTAAATACAAGAAAGTTGTTTAAAATCAAGCATTCTGTTAGTCCGCACTGCTCTCGATTAAAATAAAAACATGAACATCGTAAAAAGTTACTTACGCGAATTAGAATTTCCACGAAGTTATTATCGTTGTCTGTAACTCTGGATTCGTAAACGAGGCCTTTAGTATTTTTTGTTATTATTATGACAATCATATGGATTGTACCTATTGTTAGTGTAGTCTTGAAAGCAATATGATTTTCGTGTGGTGATCAAGTTATCGTGTGATATATTGTGTAAATAAATACTTTTGACTTCATAATTTGGTAATATTATTACTTCCCAGCAATTGCTAAAATATTGCTTTTATATTCCTTGTACTTTCAAATACCATCAGACTTTAGAAATGTGTGATTTTCTATAATTATAGTTGTACAAAAATATTACAGAGGATCCTTTGAATCAAGTTTTCGAATATAAATTGGCTCGAGCTGTGACAACAGTAAATTACATGCAAATAAAATGAAACTACGTCAATTATAAAAGTTATTTTAATGCTATCAAATTATGTCATGTCAGCACCACTTCGAACAACAAGTAATTTCGATACCCAAACCGAATACAAATAATTATGAATAACTATAAGGGACACAAATTTGTAATAATTTATTTGATGTATAAATTCAGGTCACATTTTAGCCACTCCAAGCTGAATTTATTAAAGTTTGTTGTTAAAAGCGTCCGTGTCGGATTCATCCGACGTTTATTTACCTGCTTACTACATTAACACAGTAATAAAAACAGAGTATTTTTTAATGTGACAGAGCTACAAACGAGCATGCAATTCACTTGATCGTAAGTGATCACCGCAGCTCATGGACAATAACGACACCAGTTCAGTGGCTAATACATTACCGGCCTTTTAAAAAGGTATAAATAACAAAAATAACAAAGTTTACAATATTTTAGAATTACTTATATTATAGTCGGCAATATAAAAAAGTATAATATATATTTCGTTTAAAGTTAGGTAACGGTAAAATGTAGGAACGGTAACTACTGCAATATCGAGAGAACAAAAAGGCTAAACTACCTTTTACAAATGAGTTTTAAATATACCAAAATTTTACAATTTGTTACAATTAATCTGATTGACCACTGGGTTTTCTTCACCTACCAAAGACAGAGCAAGGGACTCCCGAGGTATAAAAATTACTATTGTTTCTTCAGAATTCGTTTTGCGTATCGAATATTTACTTAGTGACGCTGCTCACAATTCATATAAATATAGAAAACATTTATATTATTTTTCGTTCAACAATTTATATTTATATTTTTGTTTCTCCCAGAGATAGCTTTTAGTCACTAAAATTAAAGGTTTACTTTGGAAAATTCTAATGGATAACACATTTAATGTCATTAGATCTAGGTACAACAATGTGTTTATCATCTCGGTTTAGTTACAAGGTATGACGATTAAAAGTAAAGTAAAATAATCATAAATGTGATATGTTTCACACAGGTATGAAATTGAACACGTCATCTAAAATTACAATAGAAAAAAAAATATAGTACAATGTTTTTTAATTACTGGACCTCAAAGTAGGTAATAACAAATAAAAAAAATTCGAGATCCCATGGATCAATACTATTAAAAATAAAGTTTACTAATTACACATCTATGCTGTTCTTGTCTCACTCTAAGGTATTGCGTTGCGTACGCACATATTAAAAGTGAAATAGAAGTTGTGTTTTCGGTTTTTCTTTCTATTATAAAGTAGGTACATAGAGATAGATGTAGTAAACTAACTACAATAAATTTATTCATCAAAATGTCTTAACAAAATATAATTTAATTGTAAATTCCATAAAGTTAGGGTAATTTCCAAAGTAGTACAAACTAAGAATGTAATCAATCTTTAATGGAAATGTAAATTTTTGTTGCATATGCGAAATGTAACAATCCATAGCCGACTAAACGGTTCTTAGCTCTCAATTTACGCATGAGTAGCACTGTCTTCTACGAAGTCTCTCGCCTCCTCTTGCGTCACACATTCCACGTGTGACACTTTGTTCCTAAACTTGACGCCGTAGAATTTGTGCGCGTGCTCCAGTAACTCCGGCCTGAATGTAGTGGTGATGAACTGAGCAGACGATGACAGCTCGTGGATCATGTTTGCAATTGCTTTACGATGCTGCGCGTCCAGAGCCTGAAGAAAACGTGTTATTTAGTAACTGTAATTTTTAACATTATAGAATCCGATTAACAATGTTCACTAAATAAGGTGAATGTAACATATAATAAATTTTTACTGCAGGAAAATAACTCATTGCTAAAATATACGCATACCAAATCGCGGGTAAAATCTAGTCGACTGTAACTGTCAAAACCCATAATAAGAGAAATATACATATATTTTTATAATACAGGGACAAACAAGCATATGCCTCCCCTGACGATTAGTGATTACCGCCGTCTATGATCACCCGCAACACTAGAGGCATCGCAGGTGTGCTGCCGGTCTTTTAAAAAGGAATATGTTCTTTTCTTGAAGGTTACGTTGTCGTATCAGTTTGGAAATAATGCTGCTGGAAGTTGATTCCGAATCGTGGTTGTGCGTGGAAGAAAGCGCTTTGAAAACGGACGGTAGAGGCCATCACTCATCCAGATAGTTGGGATGGAATTTTAGTTTGTGGCGGGTTGTATGGTGATGCAAACAGCAGGTATATATCAAGAATTACTTTAATATGTATACATAAAGTATCTGAAATTATCGACCGACCTGATCGATTTCGTCGAACAAGTAGAACGGCGCGGGATCGCACTTCTGTATGGCGAATATGAGTGCGAGCGCGACCAGCGACTTCTGTCCACCAGACAACTGGTTCATCTCGCGCATGTCACCTTCGCCGCCCGTAAACGACACCTTGATGCCCACGCCTGTGAACTGGTCTGCGTTGGCGCGCTGAAAATATTCACAATAATAATATAAAAATATTAGAGAATAGGTCTTAAAGTATATTTCATACCATTAGATGGTTAGGGTGTCCAGAAAAAAATATTTATATGGCAGAACAACGTTTGCAGGATCAGTTAGTGTTTATATACATTTATAAATGTGTAGTAAAGTGCCTGATTATAAATAAAAATGTTTCCGAACCTTGTCACAATTATTGGTATTGTCAAGGGAGATTACAGAAAAAATGTAGATGCATTCGTAAGTGGAGAATTCATGTAAAAAATAAATGTTTAAGAAGTTCTTAAACATTTAGTTGGTTTTTATTATTTCGAATAAACACGTGTTTTTTTTATTTTATACCAAGAAGGTGGCAAAAGTATTCAACCCATCTGATGATGGTAAATGGTTATTGTAGTCTTGGACGTCTGCAACACTCAGGGTGTCACGTGCGCATTAGCGACCATTAAGAAACCTTAATATATACTTATAAAACCCCATACTGTAATTTACTACCTACCCCATACTGTAATGTACGCTAATTAGGTAAATTATTTTTCTAAAGTTAAAAATATTCACAAAAATATCATGTATAGATGCAATTCTCTGGATTTTCGATAATTAGAATGACTTATGGCAACAATTAGTCCTATTAATCAATCTACTGCATTTAATTTATCGCGTATAATTGAAGAAATTTAACTTTTTTGGGATATTTTACAATTATATCAATTAGTTCCACCAAAATAATATTAATTTTTATAAAAATAATATACGAAACGTTCTTTAAGAAATAGAAAAAAATAAGTGGCATTGGTCCGGTATTTTATCAAATTTCATAAATCATCTTATTCATACAAGTCAGTACCGTAGATTTCAAATTTATTTAGTAACATGCAAATCGGCGTTATATTGGGAAGGAAAACGAGGGCTTTATCGATGAGGGAAACTAGTAATAGGGCAAAATGGAGAAAATTTTCAAAAAGTCATTTACTAAACGCAACAGACTTTCAAAAATATTGGTTTAAGTAATTATTCATATAAAAATTAAGCTTGTAGTCAACATAAAATATGTGTCCACAATGAATCAATTGGATGAATATAATTTATTTGCATTATACACACAGAGATTAACAGAAAATAATTTTGTCTTCTACAAAACCGATTTCAGTTGTGGCTAAACCAGTTATTATATTTAACAATTAAACTACTCAACCGATTTTAATAAAATTTCTATGGGATCAACTTGTAAGTATAACCTTTCGAATAAAAAAAAATTTTTTTAACAATCAAAAAGAAGACAAACGAATTGAGAACTTAATCCTTTTTGTAGTCGATTGCAAATACAATATAAGTGTATATATAAGTTCAATAAAGCCGTCTTATTGCTGAAAGCAATATTGTTGCAAATTGCAAAATAAATGTAATGTGGTATGGATTGTTAATTAAACTGTTGAACGTTATCTAACCCATATAATGAGTCAAAGTCAACGAGTTGTAGTCCTCGTTTATGAACCTAGGTTTAGGTCACTTATAGACCAGTTTTCCTCAGTAAGTTATTTATGAAGGTTGGCCGAGTTATGATAGCAAATATACAAAAAGAAATAAATACATAATACAAAGATTAAATAGGGAAATGTAAACATTTTAAGGACGCACGATTTTTATCATTATTTTTACTTTATCATGGCATTGTTCAAAATGGATTTTCGTATGTATTTCCGTATTAATATCTTACTCTTAATAATAAAATTATAACTAGATGATGTGTGTACATAGAAAACATTTAAACAAATTATGTGAAGGGATTAATAGGAGAAGTAGAAACTAAAAAAAAAAAGGTTTTTAGAATATCAGTCGATCTGTATGTTTGTTCCGTAATTACATAAAAACTACTGCACCAAATTGGATACGATTTTCACAGTTATATTCCTAAAGCTCTAACATAAAAATTGGTATATTATGTAAAAGTGAGTTTGTTGTCTCTTGGTGCCTAAAAGGAACAACCAATCATGATGAAATTTGGTACACATATAGTATTTGGTCTGGAAAAAGATATACGAATAGGCTATATTTTACATCTTACTTATAAACTATGTTTGATATTTTGAACAATAAAATAATTTTTGAGTCAAAAAGAGTTTTACATATTTTATACATAGAAAATTGTCTCAGTGTGGAACTTATAAATATATATAATAATAGCAAGGCAATGGATGTTTGTATTTCACCAAAATGGCCCATACAAAGTAAATAATAATCTGAGCCTTATCTCAGTATGGAATATTGGTCAAGGGCATTTCAGCTATGATCTGATTTTTTGATATAATTATAGGGCGAGAGCAATAAAAAAAAAGTGTTTGCTAACTTATCGCAATTATCATAGGACAAGCGCAATACACGAGTTGAACCGAATATTTACCATAGATATCTAAATATAAAAAAAAAAAAACTGTACAGAAGTTATACTTTTTAACGAAATTTGATAAAATACGAACTACTTTATACCGCTTTTTCTACACTTAGGTTGTTTGTATATCAATAACCAAGAACAATTTAGCCATCCTTCATAGCGTTTAAAACAATTCGAATGGCTATATTTATGTCAAAGGGTAGTAACAATACGGGAACTCATTATGCAGTTTTGTCTATCAAAAAGCATTACGTTAAACAATGCACGTCATCACACATTGACATTGGAAATGGAATATTGATAAACAATGCTAGCATTGTAGAAATTGCTATAAATTAGAATTGTATAATTTATAGTAATGGAGAAGGGAATGTTAGTAATGCGGAGGTTAGTTCCTATATCAATATAACTTATCAGGTACCCCTTGGAAACTATCGTGACTAATTTATCATTGAATTCGTCACGATGGGCCAACTAACATGCCTTGCCATCCTCACCAATTATCATCCCTCTCTGGTGGCCCGTCAGTGTATATAAGCGCATCTGTGATAGCGCAGGCGGAGTTACCATTCCTTTATCATCCATTACAACCATAAAAAAAAAAACTATAGTAATTTCTTCTTATGTTTTTATAAGCGAATTACAAAAGAAAGACGTTCTCAATTTGTCAGTATTTTTTTATCTTCTGGGTGAAAATGGTATGGTAACCCCACCTGCGCTAACGGGATACGCGGGCGGAGCACCAGTGAAGGGTGATAGATGAGAATGAAAACAGGCCAGTTAGCCCATCATGATAAATTCATCAGGAATTAACCATGATAGTTTCCAGGGAGAACCGCGAGGACGTCGACCTGGTTAGGTATATTGCTAGCAATGGGATTCTCAGTCTCCATTACTAACAATCTCTTTCCCCCCAAATTTGACAGTACTTTATTACTAAGTTTTTCACCGCTACTTCGTACATATACCTAGTCAGAAGTAGAAAATCCAATGATGTAAGACCACTCATAGATGGCGGGTCAAAATAGAGTATATGTAGGACTTCAATTAAGGCGTTAAAACCGTATCCAATTTGGTGTAGTAGATTTTGCGTGATGCCGAAATTAACATATAGAAAAATAGAAAAAAATTATCAAGACTTCATATTTTTATTTCTTAAATAACTCCCTTGTACAGACATCTAAATACAATACTTTTATATTAGTAAGATGTAATGCTGTATATTCAATGATCATTGCAATTCTGAATCGATTTTTACAATTCTTTTTTGTAATCTATGGAGTTTGTACCCCTAAGTTAGTTCTATATTTATTTTGCCACGAACGGAGCAGATTTTTTCGTTAATAAGCAAAATCTTTCCGTAATTACACGATTCCGTATTCTAAATTTAAAAATTAGTAGGTCTATGGGACTTTATTAGCATTATTTTACGTATCAGGTATTATTATTGTTACGAGTCTGCGCCTCATTTTCATTATCGTACAATTATTTGGTTTTACTATCGGCTGTGTTTCCTTTTTATCCATACACTTTTCACCAAATATATTCTGTTAGGTTGTAATTACAACCTTTTGCAGGTCAATATGCATGCTTTTTTTATCGAACTATTTACATATGAATTGTAATTACTACTAATTGTCATTCTACTTTTACAAATTATTACTATTACCTTATATTATGTTTTTTATTTTAATAATTTAAAAATAAAACACAGAAGTAGTAAGAAGCAATTACATTGTATCAGTCGTCAACTGTCTGGACTGAATATAGCCTCCCTCCTCCACAAAGGGGGTTTGGCAACCGTAGTTTGGCTTTTGGTGATGTTTTAAGAGGGACCCTCCTGCTCATCCCTTGAGCATTGTTTCCTTGGTCGCCTCTTACGACACCCATGGGAAAGAAAGGGGTGGCCTATTCTATCTTTTTATTTCACGTTTTCTATATAAGAAACTACACACTATAAAAAATACCAATTTTAAAATTTTTAGCTTTTTTGGATCTCTTAGTAAAGAAAAAATAAATATTTCCAATTATTTCCATTTCAATACGTGCAGGCTAATAATATGTAAAACTATTCAAAATTTCAACTTGATACTTTAGTAATTACTGAGATATAGCGCTGTAACAAACGGACAAATGGAGAGAAGGACAGATCAAGTAGCACTATAAATGATCCTTTGCACATTTTTGGTACGGAACCCTAATAATGGACTCGTTAGGTGGTGGTAGGGGGAAAACAACATTTGCCGTGTCAGGTGGTTTATTATAAACTGACTTACGTCTGCGTTGACTTCTTGTCCGTCGTCTGTCGCCACTCTCATGATGAGACTGCCTCGACCTTGCGGGACTAATTTCTTGAAGACCTCCGTGAAATTCTTGCTTACTTGCTTGAAAGTGAACTGTATCGCTTCTAACTTTCTGTGTTCCAATGTTTCTATAAGTTCACGAATTTTCTCGCCACTGTTAAAAAAAAAATAATAAAAAAAAATATTATATTTATGTCTTATGTTTATATGGGATAATAACTTAGAATAAAAGAAAATGGTTGAAAAGATGTTGATCAAAGAAGCATATGGTTGGTTATGAAGCCTATGAACACCCCACACAAGCAGAATACTTGTTCTATATGTTATATCCAGCTTTGGACTTGTATTATATATAGTATGTACTGAATTTGTAAAACAAACCTTGTACTTTCTCATTTGAGTTCACCAAATGTCTTCTTGTGTGTCTTATAAGATTCATCATAATCATTTCAGCCATTAATATTCCCGAATTAAAAAAAAAAATGGTCTTCCTTCTAACATTTTATTAATTTCGAGGGAATCCTTAACATCGATATAATTCATGTCACTAGTTTAATGTGTATTTAAAGTGGTACAATATCTTAATCAATGGTGTCAAGTTCTTATATAGTAATTAGAAACAGATTCAAGCGTGATACAAGTATATACTAATGGCAGTTCAAAACAAAAGTATAAATAAGAAAACAGCACCGGCACGCATCAATTCGTTTAAAGCTGGCGCCCAACGATAACGGAAATTAAAGTAAAATGTATTTTCACATATTTCTATACGTATTGTCGCATACGTGTATAGGATATGCTAGAAGCGTAGAGACGACGGAATCAACGAATTATAACACGCGTATAATCAGCAGCTTCCAAGATATATTCAGCATATTAATAAGTGACAATTTCAACGATGTACAATCAAACTTGTCGATATCAGTACCGGAGGACGCTTATTTGAACATATCGCAATTGGCGAAAAAATATGGATATCCGTTTGAAGAACATACTGTTGTCACTGATGATGGTTATATTATAAATTTTCACCGAATACCGCACGGTAGAGATGGACAGAGAAACAATATTGTGGTGTTTTTAATGCACGGTATCATGGATTCATCGGACAGTTGGGTAATACAGGGCCCAGAGCAGGCCTTCAGTTACATATTAGCGGATCAGGGATTCGACGTTTGGATGGGAAACGCTAGAGGCAACAGACATTCTCCAAAGCATACGAAGCTGAATTCAACAGACCCGGCCTATTGGAAGTTCACATGGGAACAAATCGGAATGTACGACACGACAAAAATGATTGACTACATTTTAAACGTGACGGGTAATGAATATGTGTACTATATAGGACATTCGCAAGGTACTACATCGTTTTACGTGATGAATTCGCTGAGGCCTGAGTACAATGAGAAGGTAAAATTGATGTTTTCACTTGCACCCATAGCTTGGGTAAAGCACGTCAGATCTCCGATAATAAAAATGCTTTCTCCAGCGCAGAACATATTGAACTACCTTCTATTGACTTTTAATATATACGGGCCAAGCTCTGTGTTCTTCAACAAGGTTTCCGCGTATGTGTGCAGTATGTTAAGCATCAAATGTAAAGATTACTTAACGTTGATCGTAGGTGATGATTATAGGTCCATAAACAGCACGATGATGCCCATCATGTTAGGACACATGTTTAGTGGATCCTCTACGTTTCAATTTTTACATTATGGACAACTGTTACATTCGGGAAGATTCTGTCGCTACGATTATGGACCTGAGCAGAATTTAAAAACATATGGTGACACCTCGCCGCCTGATTATGATCTTAGCAAAATAACAGTGCCCGTTGCGTTATTTTATAGCGACAACGACTGGTTATCCGACCCTGCGGACGTGAGTACGTTGAAGAAACATTTGCCTAACGTGTTCATATATGAATTCCTTAAAGGTTATAATCATTTGGACTACTTATATGCACCTGATGTAAAGGAACTTGTATACTTTAAAATTATTGATCAGATATTAAAATTTGAAAATGGGGAGGAAGTGAATTTTATTCAGAACGATGAAGAAACCGTGGATTGAAATGTGCCTTATATTGAAATCAGTTACAGTTAGATTTTATATTATTAATAATGGCTCATTTCACGCAAAATCCGATTTTTATAATGTCGAGGTGAGCAAATATTAAGTTAAATATTTATTAATGTAACAATAATTTACTATGGTCAATACGTATCAAAGTGATCATGCCATATCATGAAAATCAAGTAAAATATATCAAATGAGTAAGAAACGTTTAAAGCGTAATCACGCTTTAAACGTTTCGTACGTTTCGTTCCTAATCAGGAACAAAAAATAAATCATAAATCAAAATCTTAGTGATTTGGTATTTGAGACCAAAATGGTGTTAACTTTTAAAGTTGGAACTTTGAAAAGTAAAATACAATTTTTTTTTTTGTAAGGCACAGGACGTAGATTGAAAATATGGATTCTATAAATTTATTTACGGGTAATCTTTACACATATTAACTTTACAAGTACAATGTAATTTCTTTTAAGACGATAAGCTTCTTGTTACATATTTCCTGTTGTCATATCATCTTATCATTGTGTAATTTCATTGAAACAAAGTAAATTATTAGATAAAAAATTCAAGGGTAGATACCATTATTCAAGTAACGATGCGGGTTTAAGCTATCCTCTCTCTATGTAATTAATTTATCTGTTTAAAATCTATTAGAATATAACAATACAAAACCCCAGTTGTCAACTTCAGAATATTTGTCTGTATGAATATATATTTCAGCCATTATCCATCCACTGTTAGACATAGGCGTCTCGAGACTGTCATAAGGAACCATCCTGAGCCACTTGCATCCACTGACGCCCTGCAATGCATTTGAGATCGTCACTCCGTCTAGTGGAGGGTCATCCTATAGGATGACCCTCCACTAGACGGAGTGACGCAGTATACTGCGTTTGTCCATACGGGATCGCCACTCAAAAACCTTTTTTCCCCATCGGTTGTTGGTTCTTTGCTATGTGACCAGCCGATTGCCACTTCAGCTTGCTTATCCTCCGGGCTTTGTCAAATGTTTGTCTGTATGAATGTTTATGTAAAAATCATAACTCTCTTTCTTGCTTCGCCATAGTCGGGTAAAAGCCACTACATCAAATTGAATGCGGCTTTCATAGTTGTTTTCCTGATGTAACTTAGACCAGGAATGTTGATATGTCTATGATGAATGTGTCATGTTGATACGCAATCTAGAATTGGTTACCGATTTTGGAAATGTACCCATACGAAGTCACGGTTGTTCGTTTACGCTAATCTTTGAAAAATCTTAACCAATTTAAAGAAAAAAAACGAGCCGGTACGTGGCAGTAGACAATGTTGACGAGGTCAGCTAGACTGTATTATATAAAAACTAGCTTTCACCTGGCGTCCACACTTGAAGGGTTATGTTTACAAATACTGGAGTAATAAGATATTTTTAAAAGACAAAATATAATTAATAACTATTACTTGATTTTGAGAACACTTGGCTTCCTTTTAATGTAATGGTTAGATATAGAAACATCGTATTGTATATTTAGATATTAAGAGCTGAAATGTTTCATATAATTTATTGTAAATTATTTTTAATTGAATGAATGAATTACGAAACTGTGAGATGTTACATATTTATTGTTCGACAATCCATATTTTACCATGATAGATAGACATGGTTAATATTGGTACTATTCCAATATCTATATATTGGATTATTTTGGATATTAATGGTGGAAACAAGGTCATTACACATTACCAGAGGGAGACTTTGTACAAAAGTCGATTGCTTGGGTACCTCTGTCCCATTCGTGTTTCCACCGTGAAGTAGTTGTGTTTGCATGGCTGTGGTTCGGTTTGAAGGGTGGGATATGGCGTGAATTTACAGGGTACAGAGGAATAAGATCTGAGTCCTCAGGAATGGCAACGCATGGGGGGTATCATGGACGAAACAAAATACTCTGTTATGTCCATGGTACTGCTCATGTCTATAGGCGGCGGTTACCACTTTCCATCAGGTGGGCCGTCAGCTTGTTTGCCATTTTAAGTTGTATAAAATATATATATATATATATATATATATATATATATATATATATATATATATATATATATATATATATATATATATATATATAAATTTTCCAGTTCCGAGATTGTACTGGTTGGATATTTATATTAATTTAAATGGGTTATTCATTTCGACATTAAATATTGGGTAACGGACATTTAAAATATTCGTTGTTATGTAACTAAAATATATAGATATTGCTATATATTATATACCCACCTCTAATGCGAGTAGAACGATTTACAAATAATAATGTAAATTAAGACAGTCGATTACACTTACATTAATGTTGTAAACAAATTAAGTTATTACGACAAAATATTCACCGAGTGTTTAATTTAATAATATTTCTAATTAACATGTCATGAATTAGATTAATTATTATTTGTAATTTCTTTATTTGTATGTTATTGTTAATTATGTTAAAATATAAAATATATTATTTCATTATTAGTTGAAAATATTTCTTTTTTTTTTATTAAGTTGCAACCGATCAGATTTTTATCTGTAAGGATTTACTTACAGATTAGTTCCATAGAAATTTTACCAAAATCAGTTTAATAGTTTAGTTTTTAAATCAAAACAACAAATTTTGCAACAACAGAAGTTGTTTTTTTTTTTTTGTGGAACATAATTATTTCTCTTGTGATAAATTGTTAATTTAAGAGTGACTACAGTATAAGGGTTTTTAAAAAGGGTATATTAAGGGTAGGCAATGCGCACATTACACCCCTAGTGTTGCAGGCGTCCATAGGCTACAGTAACCGTTTACTATCAGACGGGCTGTATACTTGTTTGCTACCTTGTAGTATACAATTTAATAGTGAAATTTGATTTATATATTTTTGTTTCTTTACTAATATAATAAAATTGTAACCAGACGATATCTGTACATGGGAGACATCTATCTATACTTATAATAAATCTGTAGAGAGGTCAATTCTGTACATGAATTATATTTCCAAAATAATTATCAGGGGATGATTAGTGATCGATACTGATGCCAAAAATGCAATCAGTAAAATTTTTGTCTGTCTGTCTGTATGTTCATTATAGAAACAAAAAGTACTCGACGGATTTTAACGAAACTTGGTACAATTATTCTTCATACTTCTGGGCAGGTTATAATATTTACTTTTCATCACGCTACGATCAATAGGAGCAGAGTAGTGAAGGGAAATGTGTCTGTTACATCAAAACCACTGAACCGTGAGGAAGGACATAGGCTACTTATTTTACGAAAAACGACGGAAACGCGGGCAACAGCTAGTTAAAAGTAAATGGTGGATTTTATTAATAAGACCAATAGATATCAGTACAAGATATTTTAGAAATTTTATCTGTCTGCTTGTATGTTTAAAAAAACTACGGTAACAAATTAGATATGGTTTTCAATTGTGTCCCTGAAGGTCTAACTTCAAAACTGATGTATGTATGTCTTATCTTGATACACTATCTCAGAAGTATTGTATTTAAAAAAAAAATCTGAAATCCACGTATGAAGTAGTGGGCAAAAAGTTAGTTATGAATAAGTCTTTATAAACAGATGAAAAACATTACCCAATGTCGAGTTCTTCTTTCCGTTTGTAAAGTTTCTCCTTTTGTTCTGAGAAGCTGATGAACTGGTCCAACGCTTTCTTGTTCACGTGGTTGTACTTCTTCAGGTGCTGATTGGCTTTTTCCAGTTCTTTGAATAGCTATATAAAATTATAATGCTATTATTAAAAACTGCAATATAGAATATTCGTAGTAGCGCCATTTGTAATAACCCTTTTAGTGCCATTGATTTTTACTCATATTTACTTAAAAATACCAAAGAAATCTTTGTCGTGTTGATGTCATTTACCCTTGTCTCTAAAAAAACTGTCTCCTCCGAAAATTATCAAATTTTAATATTTTTTTTAAGCAAGCTAAACAGCGACTGATTTCACGAGTGCTATGACGCTCGTGGCACTTTTAGTTGCAATGCTCACGAGCGCGATGGCATTTAGCATTAGACTAGCCGTGTGCTTGTTGCCACCATAGTAGTATAAAAAAGTGTGTCTGTAATGTAACTGTACCTATTTAAATCCTTACTAAAATTACAAATGTAAAAGTGAGTTTGTTCTCATGTTTATTACTTGTTAGCGATCACTATGAAATTAGGTATACACGTTCTATATAGGATAGAAAAGCTTACTTTTTATTTAGGTCATGCGAACGATGTGTGAATGATATATGTAGTTGTTTCTTTAACTTTCAATAATGGACTCTATTAAAAAGTACATAGTCACCTGTTTCAACGACATCTTTTGATATTTGGAATGAAGTTCGGGCGCGTTAGGCAGTGTCCCCAGTGCCGCAATCTTGTCTAGAGATTCCTGTATTTTCTCTTGTAGCAACACCTCTTTAGATGCCATCTTCTCTAATCCTTTAGCATCTTCTTCCATCTTGTCTTGAGCTTCTTTTTCCTAAAAAAGTTTTTAAAAATTAAAAACAACTATAAACATATTCATGCTTAATTATTCTTTTAAATCGTTTCACGCGTAAATTTTGGGGTTCTTCGAAGAGGGCGGGAATATTTCTTTACGGTTTGCAGTGCATGATATTCTTAAATGTAGATTTTAGACTTCTTTCTGGTGATGGAAAACATCTATAATAAACAAAATCAAGCTAAATGTCGGCGGTAAATTCGTTCCTTGTAATATTAGGTTATAATATTCTCAGCAAAATATAGGTATGTCAAATATTTCCCTACATCGACAATTGATTACCCCATTAGGGATTGTAGTCATAGAATATTTATTTATTTATACAAATTTATAGTTTAAATATTAATGAATTAATTATTATTACTGTACTTGTATTATTGAAGCAGTTATAGAATATCTTACTTTATTCCTCCACTTGTCCAACTCTAGTTTGAGCGCCTTTTCATTCTTGACTGCGGCCTGCACCTTGCGTTCTACTTCTTCCAACTCCTTGTTGATCTGCCGGATGCGTTTTTCAGCCGCTGCCAGGTCCGCTTTGCTGTTAGCGAGCCGCCGTTTGCGATCCTCTACCGATATCTCTTGTAAGGCTTGAACTAATTCGTCTTTACGTCTATTAAAATAATAGCATATTATATAAATAGGAATGAAAAATTGTATATGTAATAGGTGTACAATTTTTCTGGATAATAAATATAAATTAATATAATTAAGAGGAAAGATTTGATTTTTTTTGTTTGTAATGGAGGTAGAAATACTTAACAGATTTTAAAAATTATTTCACCCATAGAATGTTAATTTAGCAGTGAGTAAAAATGGGCTGTATTTTATAAAAAGAAACTGCGATTTTTTGACACAACATTTGACTTGACTACCTGCTGCTTGATATGTACACTGCGGAATATAATGAGATCAAGTCTTTAAAATTATTATTCGATGCACCAATCAATTACATTTAGGATTATATATATATATATATATATATATATATATATATATATATATATATATATATATATATATATATATATATATATATATATATATATATATATGCATTTGCATAATTATTTAATGCAATTTATTATTCCTTGATATAAATAAAGAACTATTTAATAAGATTATACAATTAAGAATAGTACGCCTGTTTAATATTTATTACCTTATTAAGTTGTTAGTGAGCAAGTTTTCCAGTTTGTTCTTGGTAGCTTCAAGGTTCATCCTAGCGCTGAACGCCTCTTTATTCTCCTGTGTTAGTCGCCGTATGGCGTCGTTCAATTCATCCACTTTGCCTTGATCAGCAGTCGACAGTTGCTCCATCAGTTCCTACAATAACACACAAGGTGTAAATGTCTAATTGGTCAAAACATAAAACAGAAAATTCAGACAAATTATGGCAGCATTTCATTCTTGAAAATGTGACATGGTAAAATAAACAATTTTTTAACTTTTAAAGATTTTCACTTTTTACTAATATATTTAACATAAGAATGAATCGTTATGCGAGATAATGGTAGGGCATTGACTTTGTGATTGTAATAATATGTCGACTTTTAAAACTCTTGTTTTATACGAAAATTTTTGTCGTAGCATGCCAGATGACACTTTTACATGCCCGCAAAAGCAAAAATTGAGTGACAATAAATTTTATTAAAAAATGATTCTCCATTGCTTGGCATCAATTAAATAAAAATACGAATTTAAACGAAATTCAAAATCTTAGGCTGGGATTCGAGTCCGGGATCCATGGATTGCAGTCAAGCGTTGATAGCCCTTAGATCGAGAGTTGTTACAGATCGGCTAATATCGTAAGATTATTGTTGTTTTTTAAGTATGCAATTTCTTTTTATAGATATTGAATGAGAGATGAATTCATCATAGAATAAATTAGTATACCGATGGTATTCAACTATCACTAATGTATTTACTTTCCCTAAGGAGCATGGATCCATATATATTAAATTTCACACAAATTGTGTAGTCACATGAACTATTCAGTAAGAAATCTTCTGGTTTATATAAATCATATAAATATGTATATAAATATATTAATTTTGATTCATTACCTGATGTAGTTCAGATTCCAGACCCTCCTTAGTTGCTTGCATGGCCTCTAAACTTGAACGGCATTGAGCTAAAGACCGTTCCTTCGGCCCTCTGAAGCGTTCTATGGACGCCAACTCTTCTTTCATTAGACGAATATCTGCTTTCACTTTGTCAAATATATCCCTGAAATAAGATTATTTCTTATTGTAATAAAAGAGTAAGCAGTAAGGGTTATTAGTTATAATTTTTTTTTATATTGTAATATTATTTTTTAATAACTCTTCAAAAAGTGACTTTTTCTGTGTGTGCAGAACATATGTAATCACTACTACATAGTATAAAACAAAGTCGCTGTTTGTCTGTCCCTATATATGCTTAGATCTTTAAAACAGGTTTTGAAACGTTTTTTTTAAGGTTTATATATGTAATACATGCATAATATTGTAGAGAAACACTGATAAATTTAGAGATTTCTAATGTGATGTCATAAATAAACAAATTTTTTTCGCGCCTAATTGCGAACGCTGGCTGAACCCCACGAGATAAATCAAAATAATGTACTACAGTATTGTACACCTTAAAAAAATTAACAAAAAAGTCCGTGATGGCATATGTCTATCTCATAAGGATAACCCACAATAATCATTTTTTATCCTTTACATAATACGGGGAAAAATGGCTTATTTACGAAGTGATTTTAAGCAATACACTATTAATTTTTATTCAATTAAGTACCTTAAATACATTGTCCATTTAATATAGATCAACATGAGCGCTTACAGCATGTAATTTAAATTAATATTTCCGAAGATATTACAGATTTAAATGCAGGGACATAGCGGTGCGGAATTGCACCCGTGCGAAGCCGGGGCGGGTCGCTAGTTTGAAATAAAAGGAATCCTATATATATGTATGTATACCAAACTTATATAATTAGGATTTATTCAATAGTTAAATTTATTTACAATATAATTCATAAAAAAAAATTGTGATTAACTACTTAATAAATTCTTCAAATGAAAATGTATAAACTCACTTTGCTTTCCCCTGCTTAGTTTCCGTTCTCTGCATCTCTGAGACAATACTGTTAATGCTGGTCTCAGTTTTGCCTAACTCTTGCCTGAGCGTATTCAACTCTTGTTCTAGGGTAGTGATCTGCTCCATAAGCTCGGAACGAGTCTTTTGCATCTCCAAACGCGACCGGGATTGGTTAAAGTAACCACCTGTGAGGGAGCCTTTTGATGATACCTACAAATAAAAAATCACATAATTTTAGGTTTTGTAAGCTAACAATTTGCTTGACTTTATATTAATTTGCAGTTTATTTCCACATATAATCTTAAATTTGTAAATTCTACTTTTTGAAATGAGCGACATCTGAAATTATTTTCCAAATTCAAATGCTCATATTCATTCAACCAGAAAAGCAATAGTTGACAAATGCCTCTAATTAAGTTAAAAAATGACTATGAAATGTTCTAAAAGGTTAATTTTAGAAAAAGGCAAACTGGTGTAACTATTACAAAATAGGATTTTAAACAAATATACACATAGTCGAAACTGTTGGGATCAGAAATATTATATTTTGCACAGGATTTTTCACATTTGTGTTTTATTTAAAAAGATTATAGATATTATTTAATAAATAAAAGAAATAATATTTTAAAAAGAAGTAGTTTATAAAATTCTGATAAGTTACCTGATCTCCTTCAAGAGTAACACAATCCAGATGAAATTGTTTGCCGAGCTCTGTTGCACATTCCAAGTTCCTGCAGATGAGTGTCTTTCCAAATATATACTTCATAGCTTTGGCATACTTAGGGTCGTACTTCAGTTTTTGTACCATAGCTATTGCATTCTGTAATTATTTTTTCATTGTTAAAAAAAAAAAAAAAAACAATACACAAGTTAAATTAAATTATCCTAATATTTTAAAACAAACGTTTGATAAAATTATTTATAACACCATCTTAATTAAAAATGGATTATTCTTAAGTAGAAACGGATTTTAAAGAAAGTACCAACACATTAATTCTAAATTATTTTTATTCTAATTCAGACAGACATTTGACACTCTTAACACACAGGCTTGTGGGTTAAAGTTTGTATATTTTTACTTTTAAACAGTAGGTACTTTCATTCAAATATTTGGCCTGTAATGACTGGTCAATCATTATGTTCGGGTTTTTTTTTTTTAGATTTTGAGGTAGTAGATATTTTCATATTACAAGAAATTTAAAAAAAAAAAACATTTATTTATTTAAATCAACTAGGCAAACATTGTTTCACAGTATAATTTAGTATATTTTAAATATAATTGAAAATTACAAAACATAACAAAAAGCAAATCAACACAATAAATACAAACTCTATACTGTTAATTGGCCCTAGCGATAAGGCCTTTTGTATATTTATGTCTATATTTTGATCTGTACTTTATGCTAATATATTCCATTTGAGTTTTCTAATTATTATTGTATAATTTTATGTTTTTGGTGTAATAAAAAGTTAAATAAATAAATATTTTCAGAAAGATAACCCCGTGAAAGTTTAGTTAGTTATGGCCTAAATAAAAACTTATTGAAATATATACTTACATTGTCATTAGGATATACCATGTCGCGTACTTGCAAACGGTTCAGTGGCATAAATGTAACCTCGCCGGGGAGGCTCTGTCGGTTCATCTCCTTCAATATCTTCGTGCCCACTGTGTCGGACTCGACTATGTGATGGAACAATCTATTGCCAGCTGTAACCTGTTTATAAATGGCTGCCATCAATATCAATGGAATTTAATATTTTGACATATAAACAGTACTGAGCATTAACTGTTAAATTTTAATACATATGCATTTAAAATATTTTTTATAATGAGTGCCTCTCTTATTCTGTTTAAACTTTATAGAATCCTTACTAATGTAAATAGTAAAATGGGATTTTTTGTCACTCTTTAGCATTATAATAGTTTATTTCAATAGTCATATAATGATGTATACATAAATAAAATTATATTTGAGAGGGAAGTCATAAGTTTTTTTAATCAATATTTCTCGTCATGTGGTGAAATGTAAACTAGTACTTTAATATTAAAAAGGCTTATAATAATATAAAAATATTATAAGTAATACGATTTCGACAGTACACACTTTTGATTAAAAGAATAATTAAAATCGGTGCACTACTGATGGAGCACACATGCAAAATTAGTTCTAAATACCATTTACCTCAACCGCAGTATAAATAGTCTTGTCACAGGTAAAATTCTCAATGACAGGGCCATAATACTGTGTAGCTATTTTTGCCCACTCGCCACCCCTCTCTTGGAATGTTTCTAATACTTTTCGTACACTGTCTCTTCCATTCAAAATTGGCTGTAAGGAAAAAAAAATGGAAACAATTACAAATCAAAGCACTAATAAAAATTAGTAAAGCGCGAATGGAACTGGCCGATTTCATGTTCTAATTTACTTTACCTTTCCAGCCATAGAGCGGAGTGCTTGATCGGCTTTAGCCAAGTCTTCCTTTAATGACGACAAATTCTGCGTCAATGTAGTTTCTTTACGCCATAGTTCACTGTGAAAATATGTTCGCGACTATAATGCTGGTTGGCTTAAACAGTGGATATTGATTTGACAGCTGCAATCAATGGCATGGTAACTACTGGCAAACTCTCCTTAAGGGGGAAGCTTATGTTCAGTAGTGGACAATTAAAGGCTGATATGATGTCGATGAATCAACGGTAATAAACGTTATTAGAAACTACTTTTTAAATATTGTGGTCATTAAATGCGAAGATACGGTGTACTCTCCTGAATCAATTTGAATCGTCCATTTCTAAAATATATCAATTTGACAATAAATTTATAGATAGACACTTGAGACTTTTGTTATACAAATGATAATAATGTTGTATAAATAGGCATGCAGACTAATTCCATATTTTATGGTTTAATTTATTATTTATTTGTTCTCAGATGAAACATTATCACATTTAAATATTGATACTCGTGTAGATTTATATATGTCAATATCATTATTCTATGTCACAGAAATACAACAAAGCTATTTATTTTAGAAAAGGTCAATTAACAAGTTTGCAACATGTGCGACCTTGTATTGTACATGTAGACAGTATACAAGATAATGTAAACCTTTAAAACATATCTTTGTTTAGTTGAGTATTATAAGTAGCTTGTAAATATTTTTCTCTGAATGAAGATGGAGCCTTTTTCATTAAGGGGCAATTATGGGGCCATAAGAAGCATAACACATAAATGCAAAAGAAGGAAAACTCGAAATAAAATGCGTTTTTACGTCTACTGGCTTGAGTGGTAATAGTAGGCTATATTCACATTACAAGAATTGACCAGAGCCTTGGAGTTGGCCTTGTAACACAAATAGTTTTTTTTTTTATGTTAATCACAATGGCCCACCTGATGAAAAGTAGAAACCGTTACTTATAAAATATAGAAAGGGGTGAAATGAAATATTTTATTTAGCTATGTCTCGTTACGTTAGGTACCTACAGGCAGGCAGATAGGTGAAAAACTTAGAAAATCTGTAATATTATATATGTATACATCATTAGGATAATCTATAAGATTTTATACGTATGTGATTGGAACTTATTATGAAATGGCATTTTTCTGTTTTCTTGTAAATATAGGTCATACTCACTTTCTAGCACTTTGTTCTTGGTCCTTTCTCTTCTTGCATTCATAATACTGCTTATTATGTTCGTCAATAGCTACTCGCTGCCTTTCCATCTCTTTCGTCATCTCTTCTATTCTCTTCTCCAGTTCCGTCAGTTTGGTAGCATCACGCCGAAGATCGTCACGTAGTTTAGTCTCATGGTCCTTTTTGTCTTTTATTTGCTTGTTTAGAGACCTAAAAAATTGTTAATATAGAAACAACATATTATACAATATTTAAACATACTTGTCGTAGTATTCATATATAAAATATATATAAATACTTATAAAATTAAATATTTATTTCATTTAATTTTGTTATGCGTAAATGAAAATTATGTCCAATTTGGGTGCATTAGTAAAAAATTTATTGATTATAAAATATTATCCTCCCTTATTCAAATTTAGAATGGAACAAAACATGGACACAAACACAACGACAAAAGAAAACATATGGTAAGAGATTTCATTTACGGGTTACAAACGCTTATGTTATAAACATCATGAGTTACAATACTCAATGGATTCAAAGCTATGTTTTACAATTTATATCAAAACACAGCACTCGCATAGACTTTTTACAAAGTTTCCTTTGATATAACTACTATGAATTTACAAAAAATACAGGTACTTACTTCAACTCCTTTTCAATCCAACGATCTCGATCTTGTTTTGAAGTGAACTGTGTCCCTCTGCCTTGTTTCGCATAAAGCTCTTGCCTTTTCTGCTGATTCAACGCCAGTGCTCTTGTGCACTCTTCTTCACGAGCTTTCATTTCTTCGTATTTTGGCTTGAGTTCTTCTAACTCGCGTTCTTTTTCAGCAATCTGTTGTCTCAAGCGTCCTAACTCGGTTTCTGCACGTTCCTATAATTTTTTTTTTTGTGTTACCATTACAGTCATAATTTTAGCACCCTTCTATCTGTTAGGTGTTAATAGATTTATAAATTACGATTTTAAATATTCTGTATCATAGAGAAATTAATGGATGGATTATCCATTCATTAATTTCCTTACATAAATACCTTCGATTTATTATCTCCGTCAACATCATCTGTCAAGTCTTTGATACCCAGCTCAAGTTTGGTCTTTTCTCTTAACAACTGCTGTTGTTCTGTAGATAAAATGTCCTTCTCTTCTCTTGCAGCTGCTACGTCTTTGCGAGCTTCTTTTAATTTCCTATATAGACGATTTATTTTATGTATTTATTTATGAGACAGATTTTTTGTTTTAATAAAAATAGAATACAATATATATTAATATACCTGTTAGCTTCCCTGACATGGTCTTGAGCTTCTCTAACCATATCAGCATAATGTTGTTGTTCCTTGCCACTGTTTGAGCGCATTTTTTCCAACTAAAAGAAAATTAAAATTTTTGGTAATGAGCCGCAGAAAAAAATTAAAGAAATTAAACTACAGTATACCATAATTACTGTAACACTGATAGAATACATATGTATTCTATCAGAAGATAGAAATTTTTTTCGTTAGTTTTATTAAGTGCTTTTTCTACGCTCAGTGTTACCAATTATTCTATTCATATTGCATTGTAAGATATTTTAATAATATTTGAATTATATTTTAAAAATACAATATGTATTTACAAACAATTGTTTTTACAACAGCAATTTTATGTACCTCTTCAAGTTTCTTTTTGTTTTCTCTGTGTTCTGTGTCATGTATTATGAATTCGAGCACTCGCCGAGCGCGGTCCCATTTTTGATATTCCTTTAATTCTTCTTTCTCCTCTTCCAATGTCTTTAAACGCTCTTCAATTGTTTGTAAGAATTCATTGATTTTCTCCACCTAGAATGAAAAGGATATTGACAATGATAAACTATATCATCAACATGTCAGTCTTTAAGTGTCCACTGCTGAACATAACACCCCAAGAGGGAGGCCTTTGGAGGGTTTTGCCAGTAGTTGCCATGCTTTGCAGGTGGATTGACAACTGCAGTTAGACTTTTAGATGTTTTAAGAGGGACGCTATTGCCCATCTCTTGTCTTCCCTTAGTCACCTCTTGCAACACTCATGGGAAAGGGGTGGCCTAGTCTACGCTAGGACCACATGGATAAACTATATACACAACTTAACATTTGACAATGGTATTAGCCAATATATAATTCCAGTGAATACCTTTCCAACTGTTTCTTTGAGTATTGTAACTGATTCTTCTCTTCTCTCATCATATACTCGGGTTCCAGCCACTTCTCTTAATAATTTTAATCTGTGTGAATCAGGTGCTATTGCCATTTGGTTAATCTGTAAAACAATATTGAAAAATCTGTGTTCACTTGTCTATGACTAGGAAATCAATGTTAATTTGTACTTGATAAATCTAAGCCTGTTCTTACAGAAAAAAAATACAAATATTATTTATTGCAATTATTTATTAAATTTAAAAAGACCTGTAATAAATGATTTTTAATATATTTTTATTTTTACATAAAATGGTAATAGCATAAAATATGTAACATTTAATCATATTATTGTATTGTTAAGCAGTACAAACCTTTCCCTGTTTCACAATGTAGTATGGATTTGAATTAGATAAGCCAGCACTTTCTAACAGATTGAGGACTTCAGAACGCGGCACCACCTTTTTATTAAGGAAAAACTGGTCCTTTTTTGATCCAATGACTCGTCGGAGGAAAATTTCATCTTTCTCAATCTGCAAACATATATAACTGTTATAAGACAGTTATTTAAGCTATTAGACCTCTATCTATTATATAAACATGTATACTGTATTTTTTCATTTGGGTGTAAATGGAATGGTACCCTGCCAGCGCTATCGATATACACCGACGAGGCACCAGTGGAAGATGATAGGTGAGAATGAATGCAGGTCAGTCGGCCCACCATGATGGATTCGACAAGAATTAACCATAATGGTTTCCAGGGGAAACCACATGGAGGTCGACCTGAGAGGGTATATTGGCAATGTGACTATTAGACCTCATTACTAACAATCTCTTTCCCCCTGTATACTGTATTTAATGTAATATTGTAAAATAAGAAGAGTAAAATTTTATCAATCAATTCTAGTTCAGTTCACTTTAAAACTTCCTTATGTCTTGATATTTGACTTTGACAAATTGTAAAGTTGTTATTGGTAGATTTAGAAATTAAATAATAAGTATGATCTTTGAACAGAAATAAAAATGTGAATAAAAAACTTTAAAAAAATTTAGAACATATTCAAATTACAATTAAATACAGTGTAAATATGTATACTAATTTGTCATAAAAACTATTACAGAAACATAACTGACAATAAAATAATTGATGGCTAATATTGAATGGTAACAAGAATATATATAATCATCGACACAACATTAAATTAGACATATAATTATATACCTATTTAGAGTACTTACAGGAATCCTATTATCAGAATTGTCAAAAATTATTTCCACAAAGGCTGATATCACCCTGGGGCCAGTGCCCTCATGGAGCAGTGCCAACCTTTGCTCAGGTCTGAGGTGGGAGAATTCATCACTCAATACAAACTGTATAGCTGAAAATATATGAATAGGAGTATTAGTAAAATGTTTATTTCTTATTTATCATATATACAGAAAACACAACTAACAGATGAATCTACTTCCAGTTGAAATGCTTAGTTTAGAATCATTAATATTTGGATTCATTATATAGGAGGTCCTGAATAAAGTAAGCAAATACTGAAAAATGTATTATGGGTAAAATCATTCATTACTATAAGTATGTACAATCAGTTTTTGGTGACATTTGACATAAAAATAGAAAAAAAAGGAAATAAAAACAAACAGCGTTAGTTTATCCAATAGTGAGACTTGTGGACATCTGCATAGCCTACAGTACACCAGACATAGGGAAGATGGTGGTAAATACTCAGAAGTGGAACAAAATTCATAAACAGTATGTGTGAGATATGACCTACCTACATAGATGCACTAAGTGTAACTGTGCTACATTAATATCAAGCACAATTAAAACAGAATCGGGAATAAAACTTATACTTAATGGTTATGATACTTACCATGAAAAAAATTACTTTTGCCAGAACCATTGCGTCCAACCACCACGTTGTGGCGTTTATCAAACGGTTCCACGACAATTTGTTCGCGGTAACTCTTAAATCCCTGAATAATTACCTGTAAAAACAATAACATTTTCTAAGTACGTTTACTAATTTTACTATAGGTAAACATTGACTGTGTACAACTATAATAAGACTTATACGCGATTCAACAAGTAATATAACATAAAACATAAGTAAATTTACCTGTTTTATATGCATTTTCACTGAATTATTTGTAAAAATGTAAGATTATTTACGACAAACTCTGACCGCCATTTCTTCTAGCTGTCAATTGTAGACCTACGCCACTTCGATCAAAAACATGAAATGTATTTAATCAGATAATTGAATTAGAACATTTACAATATACAAAAGCTAAATTCTTACAGTTCCTGTCAACATAGATATTTTATACAGAGTCATCTTATAAATATTTGATATATATAATAAATATATATTCATATTATTATAATACGAATATTTATTAATTTAAAATATTATAATTTTTGAAGTTCTAAGGTTACATAGAATTATTTTTTAGTTTATCAGAGTAGTGACGGTCCTTAAATAATCAATGCTTCCTTACTCTATGGTCAACTGTCACGAAAGGTTAGCGTTCTAGCCTAAATGACCTAAAAACATTCGATTCTGAAATCTTTTTAAAAAATTCCAATTTCCAATGTTGGCAGCAAAGATTTCGATGTTCTTAGGTGATCATCAACAGATTTATATTGGTTATTTTTTTACAAATTTTAGCGAAATTTTGAGGAAAATAAAATAGATGTGTAGAAAATATTAATTCCATGGCCCAACTTAGATTCTTTTTTCTGTATTGAGAACGAGACTTGTAAGATTATACTGTCTATAAAATTTAAAGCAGTTGTTAATGATGATGTGGATCGCAGAATAATTACAATTGTTTTCAAACACTGTTCCCATTATAACTCGCAATATTAATTTTTCTTCTAGTGCTTCTTTCACCCTTTGGTAAAAATAATTTGTTCTTCCCTTTTCGAAAATCTTAGTAAACTCGGGCGATTTTAGACTTGGATCTAAAATCTCCCGCTTCTAGTGAGAACTTACTAGTGAGCAGCGGCCTCAAGGTCGAGGAAGCGGGCCTTCTTTATTTACAATAATAATCTCTTGACTCCCTTTCGCTCCGGACACAGCGCTTTTGCAGCGCTACTTAAAGTTACCGATGACATTTATTTTGGTTTGGAAGATAAGATAGTCATCATTCTTATATTTTTTTGTACTTTTTTAAAGTTTTCAACATAGTTGATGGTAATATATTGTTATCTATCCTACAATATTACAGGTTCTCACCCTCTGTGCTGGAATTGTTCTCCTCTTATTTGCGTGGACGCCTGCAGACAGTCCATGTTGAACGTGAACTCTCTGATTCGTTTGATTTGTCTACTGGCGTTCCATAGGGGGGAAATATTTTCTCCTTTAATGTTTTTTTTTATTTAATTAGAAGATGTCTGTACATAGAATCTATTTAAGAAAAAAATATATGAGGAGGTCTTCATAAGAGTATCTAATAGAAACTAAAACAGTAATTTTTAGAAATTTTGTTCGTCTCTCTATCTGTATATTAGTTCTGGTTAATACCGGTTGATAACGTGATCGTAAAAACTACTCCACTAAATTGGATGCAGTTTTTATCGTTGTATTCCTGAAGTTCAAATTTCAAATCTAGTATAAGCTTTATTCTTAGATTATATAGGTAGAGTGTCTCCTTACAACTGCTTCGAGAAAAAAAAAAATTTTTTTTCATATAGTTTTGCGTGATAATTGCTTATGAGTGATTACTTTATAATTTCTATATTCATTTTATCTTACCAATTCTGCAGCTTTTAATGCATAAGAACTCATTTTATTTATTAAATAATTAAATATAGATACGCCATGATATATTGTGTGCGTAAGTGTAAAGAACATTATTAAAAAAAAAACGAATCAGCTAATTTGATAATTAGCTGAAAAAAGTTTTGAGGCTCAGTGCTCTATCTATATAATATAAGGCTTTATCTTTATACGCTATCTAGAAGTAGTATAAGTCGAGTATAGACATACATGGCACATCTCTACATACGTTGCCTTAAGTGTTTATTTCATTATATTTTTCGCAAGATACACATGATGTCAAATTAATAACAAACATACAAACATCTATACATATTTTTACATTTATAATACTAATAGGAAGTAGGATCTCTAATTTTATTGCTTATTTTAACCTCTCATAATATACAGACTTTTTGACCCTTACGAAGGAGAGCATAATAAAAAAACAATAAAAAACTGCCATGAACTCGATCAAAACCTCGACCGATGACGAAAAGCAACTATCATCATTGCCACGGTTCGCATTTATTTGTGATATTTTTAGAACTTCAATGTTTTAATTTATAAAAGTACAGAATATATTTTTAGGATAATAATTTCTGATGTGAGTCGGACTCGTGCAAAGAGGGTCCTGTACAAATTAGAGCTGAAAAAAATAATTCGTGGTTGTCATATAACTACAAATTTACGATTTTTAAATTACTTTTGTGCTGTACGACATTACTTCTTGCTAAATTTTATGATTCTAGATTAACGGGAAATATTTAGGTAATAGGTTTTGATTCTTTTGTAAATGTTAAAATATAAACGGTTGTATCTTTTGATTGCGTCGACTTAGAAGTTTGATTTTTTTACAGCTTCAAGTTATTGCAGACTTGAGTATTTGAGATTAATTGTAGCTTGATTTCCCCACGCATTTTTGTGAAAAAGGGTTTGACTAGAAGGATGAAAAGATGGACAGACAGACGGATAACATAGTGCTCCTATAAGGGTTCTGTTTTTCCTTTTGAGGCACGAAACTAAAAATACAGAAAATATTCTTATAACTATAATTTCTGAAGGATTAGTAAGAGACTGGTCGATTTATAACGATAACGATCTCCGTGACTGGTGGTGGACACGGTGCTTTGCGTAAATGAGGTCTCGGAGTCGATTCTCAGCCGGGCCAATTTAGTAAATAAACTTTTCTGAATTGATTTGAGTCTAGGTAGGTATTTTGGGATCCGCCTACGAATTTTCTTTTTTATACAACTTAGGATGGCTAACAAACTGACGACCCACCTGATGGAAAGTGGTAACCCTCGCCTATAGACATGAGCAGTATCATGGACATAACAGAGCATACTGTTTCGCCCATGATACCCCCCATGCTTTGCCATTCCTGAGGACTCAGGTTTTATTCCTCTGTACCCTGTAAATTTACGCCATATCCCACCTTATTATCCAAACCGAAACACAGCCATGCAAACACAACTGCTTTACGGTTGAAACACGAATGGGACAGAGGTATCCAAGCAATCGACTTTTGTACAAAGTCTCCCTCTGGTATATATTCTATGCCTGCTTCAATATAGTACAGGGTGGCTTAGCTTGAGGACCAGGCAATTGGTGTAATTTTATAGCAATTATTATTATTATTTATTACAATTACTATTGTGATGAATCATTAAACATGACATTTCGCGAAGAAATTGTACTTAAATCGTACTTAACTTTGAGTCTTATATTATTTCGCAATCTATATACCTATCTTCGTCTCGCAGGTGAAGTCGTAAATAAAGGCTAGTTGTAGATAAAACAAAGACGGAATACTAGGAAGTGCTTGGAAGAAACGAGAAAACAAAACGGTAGCATATATGCTTCTATCATTTTAGTACAAATCCTTCAATATCATTGTATTTATCTGATAACCTACTTTGCATAGGAATTAAAGTTATTACATTTGTTATTGTATATTGTAATTATTATTCAATGCTATGGCATATTTTATGATACTATTAGTTCATACTTATACGAATTCGATGAAACATTGAGTATCTAAAAAGTCGATCAATTAACTGACTGTTAATAACAATTAGTTTTTTTATACTAAGGTTTCTTTAAGGTCGACAACGCGCACGTGACGCCCCTAGTGTTACAGGCGTCCATAGGCTACAGTAACTCTTTACCGTCAGACGGGCTGATTGCTTATTCTGTCAGTTTCGTGCTATAAAAAAAAAAACGGTTTTCGTGATAAAAATCACAATCATGAATTATATGATTTATATAAATTTATGCATTCCGGAAAGCACGCCATTTTTTAAAAAGAAAAGGCTGTTTGTGTCGAAGCATTACTATGGATACACTTTATTTATATGTTATTGATCTAAGATGATATCATGATCATGACCTAGGCGCTAAATAGTAGTCGCGAAAAATACAATTTCAGTGTGTTTATTTATCTTAAATTATGAAGTAAGTACATTATACTAAGTTATGGGTTTTAATGTAATTGGAGATCGAGATATGTGAAATAAATAAATACGTACTTATGCATATTGAGACAAAATGCATTTTGAGACCAATTAAATTATTAACATTATTTAATAATTTTAATTACGCCGTGAGGTTCCGGCATAGAATGGGCCATCCCTTCCATAGTCCAGAGATTGGTAGTAGCGTCCCTCTTAAAATATAATCAAAGCTTAACTGTGGTTAACAATCCGCCTACTAAGGCTGGCAACTACTGGCAAAACCCCTCCAGTAGAAGAAGCCCTATGTTCAGCAGTGGTCAATTAACGGCTGACATGATCATGATGATTCAAATTACGGCGGCAAGCAATTTTGTTGAGATCTAAAAAGTGGAAGATTGTATTTTTCTAAAACTATGTACTTAAGTGTTATTTTATAACAATTTTTTTTTTTTTATTTATGGTCATCAATTTCTCTAAAAAGTTAAAATTAATAAATATCGATATAAAATACCATTAAATAATTAAATATATATAAAACATTATGCTTATTGCAATTCATCGGGAGGTAATCTGAGGATGTGTATGGGTTCATATTTGTATCTGCCCCCGGAAACTACGCTGTCACTATTCTAACTCACATCCTTCTACATAGTGAAATTGCCTCCCTTCCTCTGAATTTGTTTAAAAATCCGCTTGTCTAGTGTGGTGATTTAAACCCTCCATTAATGTATGGTTTCGAGTGTGAAAAGCACAGAATTACACATATTGGAAGACATCGGCGAAGACCTATATGCAGCAGTGAATGCTGGCTGTATGTAAGATGAGTTCTGGCGTAATTCAAATGATTTTATTTGGCGTGTTTGATTAATCTTGAAATAAATAGTAGTAATATCTATTTATTCTATAGATATCTATAAGTATGTATTTTAAATATTATTTATAAAAATAAATTTTTGTTCTTCGAAATCAGTTGCTAATTTCATTAATACCTATGTGGTTGTAGAATTTGTTCTTAGAAACACTTTGGTGGTAATAACAAACACAAACTGAGAACATATGAAATCGATGGAAAAATATTAAAATTAAAAATTGGCATTACCTATACCTGTCTACACAGAACTACACATTAACTAGTTGAAATAATTTGTATGTTTTCATTTTGTCACTTCGTGATTTTCCTGTTTATTTTTACTGTATTGTCTATGGTATATTCCATAGTTTTACGGATAGAGTGATCCAAAGTGAAAGTACTTATTTTGCGATACCGTCTTACTTTCACACGTCGTCATCTATACCGGTCTGTTTCATCGAACTTGACTGACATACTAGCATGTATTTAAAATACTTATCCATTCTTAGTGTACCTAAATATTTATTTACATATGAGTATTAGCCAGATTTACTCACAAATATATTCGCTACTACTTGTACTCGCGGCTGTGCTTGTGTGAATCAGCAAGTATATAAAGTATCTTATGTATTGGGATATAACATAATCGTGTACTAAATTTCATTCAAATCTATTCAGCCTATTGAGCGCGATTGAGTAGCAAATATTCTAACATATACACATCTAAATATCTTTATAAAAATTTCATACTTATAACATTGGTAGGATTCTAAACTTTACATAGGGTAGTCGGAAGTATTTTGTCCTTGAGATCGGTTATTTGGCTTTTTAATTGAATAAAAAAAAATTGTCTATTGATAATGTCTTATTCCTAAGAAAATGTGACAACAATATTTTTTTTTTTGTATAATTTGACTGGACTTCTTCGTTAATTCTTAACCAATTTTGATAACTGTCCGTTAGGTTTTAAAAAATTGAAGTACTTAATTTCAATCGATCTTAAAATAGAGGTCAAGGCCCTCATTTGTATTTTTTTTTTTGTGTTCATGTCACAATTTTAGGGGATAAAACTTTATTTTATTATTACGGATTAGTTATGATGTTGACCTACGAGTATTCTTTATATTGGTCGTTTTAGTATTCAAAATGGTGACTGATAATAAAGTTTTATGACTCTAGTGTAGGTCATTGTAAAATCATTGGTCTGCTTTTGCCACGAAGAACAGAATTGTTTCGGTTTGAATAATAAATTAACTGGTGCAGTCTCCGACAAGTGTACATTTACGTAGTACGTTATACTACTAGTATAGTAATATATTATCTGTGGCTATACTAAGTCTATAAGTATACAAGTAGATAGTAGATGTGAATTGAAGAAAAAACCGCAACTACATGACTTCGCGTGTCAGTGTTCGGCCCTATTAAGTTCAATAAACAGAAATTTATTCCAATTAAACGATTTCCAAAATTTTTTTTATTATAGCACGACATGTGACCATATTATCCTAAGCGAAAGCAGAGACAATATGGTCTATGAATACGTTTAACCGAAAGGGAAGTATTTTTTCAGGCTACATTTGAAGGATCCGAGGTTATAAAATGAAGAAAATAATATAAGAGTAATGTCGACAAATGTTTTAAAAATAAACAGAAATAGAATTCTAGATGATTTTTTCGAAAAGATTTACGAGAGGGCATTTATTGTAAATAAACAGTTGTTTATTTACAATAAATGCCCTCTCGTAAATCTTTTCGTTTTAGTTAGCTAACTATTGCAATACTAAAGTAGATCAGGAGTAACACGCTAGAGGAGAACTAGTAGTGTCCGTCTCTATCAGTGCTAATGAACAAAAGACTCAACACTAGTCCATAGAATTCGGAACCATGATATGCTCTAGGCGACATGGATATATAATGGTGAATTGATCATTGAATCTGATCATTTTTAGGAACAGCAAAGAAGTTAATGACCCTAATAACTGCTTTGCTGTTCCTAAAAAATAATATTGTGTTCCAAAAAACCGACTTCAATTATGGAAAAATCTGTTATTTTGTTTTAAAAACTAAACTACTAAATCGATTATGTTAAATTTTTATGGTGTTAATCTGTAAGTGTTTTTTTATACAACTTAGAATTGCAAAAAAGCTGACGGCCCACCTGATGGAAAGTGGTAACCGTCGCATATAGACATGAGCAGTACCATGGATATAACAGAGTATACTGTTTCACCCATGATACCCCCCTTGTGTTGCCATTCCTGAGGACTCAGGTGTCATTCCTCTGTACTCTGTAAATTCACGCTATATCCCACCCTTCAAACTGTAACACAGCCATGCAAACACAACTACTTCACGGTTGAAACACGAATGAGACAGAGGTACCCAAGTAAACGACTTTTGTACAAAGTCTCTCTAGTAAAAGTATATTTTATCAGATAAAAAAGACCTCTTTTTTTGTTATCGGTTGAAAAACCAGTTGTTTTGAGTTGAACGTACGCCATTGTTAGGTGACTAGAATCTATGTGTGTATATTTAATATCTATTTATAAATTTGGCAAAGATGCTCATGCATGCATATACTTTTTCGCTGTTCAAATCTTTTTTTTGAAATCATATGTTCTCGTATGTGTATGTTATTATATAGCTATTTAGTAATATAATAATGTGAACATCGAAAATTGTTTTTGGTCTTATTAAAATGTCCTATACGAGAAGAGAGTCAAAGAATACTTTCTCATTTACTTAAAGTGTCGGTGCAATCTTTATTATATCCGAATGCTATGGTCTTACGTGTCCTAAGGATTAACTATACATGATACAAAAAAATAATTTAAATAAATCATAAGATCTACCTAACTTAAACTCTTGGAAATCATGAGATCTACCTAATTTAAATTTTCGAATATAATTAACAAGAATTTAATTTTTAGTGTAGTATTGACCTTAATATTATTATAACTGGGATGCAAAATATTTGTGTATTAATTCCTTTCTTTCCGTAAGTAAGTAAAGTAGACAAAACCTTATCTGAGAAAAGAGTTCAGGGTATGATAGGTGTGATATATTTAAAGAAGGTAAAACTCTTTAAAATAAAGAAAAATAAAATCATTTTTCGTGATCAGCAAATATTTTTAATCGGTGAGTGGAACAGTAAACCTTCCTGTTTTACCTATGTATACGGAGTACTTGTAAGGGCTTATGTTTATCATCCCTGGCTGGTACTCATTTGAGTATAAAGGGATCATGGGTCAATAGGTAGCCAAGCGTTATAAATGATGGTGTCCATGAAGAGTCGCCTGAAGGTTAATTTGATAATGTGAAACGTGCAAAGAGGACGTTAATTCCTCTTATTAAAAACTTTCTCGTAATCAGCAATTAAAAATATTATTTTGTAATTCTATATACTATCACAAATTTTTTTTTGCAAAGGTGGCAAACAAGCATGTAGCCCATCTGATGGTATACAGTCACTGTAGTCCTTTGACGCTTGCAACACCAGAAATGTCACGTGCGCGCTAACAACCCTAAAGGAACCTTAATACGCCTTTTTTGAAGAGTCCCATACGATAAATCTGTAGGGAAAACTTTGGTAGGAAGCTCATTCTACAATCTTAGCATTCACAAGGGGAATCCTTACTTACCCTACTTACCTTACAAAGACAAGCGGTAATAAAAGTGGCTGTGGATATTGTGTGTACAGGAGGTGACTGCGATCCTTTAAGTAATATCTGAGATGTTGAAGGAGGTGACTAAATGAAACAAGTACGAGATATCAGTAGATCAGATAAGAAAAGAAAAACTTAAAATAAATTTCAATACTAAGCCGTTTGACCTATAAGTGACGGTCACCACTTTCTATCAAGTGGGCTATCAGCTTGTTTGCCATTCTATGTTGCATAAAAAAGCTTGTGTAATATACATTTCAGACCAGCTTGTCTTATTTCAGCTATGCTTTGATAATGTTAATAATTCAATCATTTTACTTCTACTATTTTTCGTTTCAAGTACTAAAATGGATAAAAATCATTGAGTACAGTTACCATAAAAAAAAAAAAACCGATATTTGAGAGCCGAACGAAACATGATTTTGATGTTAAAATAACATAATAAATACTTAAGAATGTTACAATATCTTTTGCACTTTATGGTAGGATTTAAGACGGACAAATTTTAAGCTTCTTTTATTTTGGATATGAACGAAAGCACAGAATTGGGTGTGTCATTTTGGAATTTGTTTTCATGGTAAACCTATCGGGTATTTTATTATGTAGTTCTAGAATACAGCACAAAATTGTCATCATTAATATCCACTCCAAGGACATGTGGCGAATATTAATGGCCTTCTTCAATATAATTATTATACATTTCCTATTAACATCATATATAAATGTTTAATATGTAAATATATGTATATCCGAGTATGATATAGGTCAGAAAAAATTGCTATTTTGATAAAAAATACAATGGTTTGGATCTAATAAACACTTAGATCCAAACCATTGTATTTTTTATTACATAATAAATGTGAATGTTTGTGAGTATGGTTGTTTGTCACTCGTTTACACAAAAAATACTGAGTGCATTTAAATATAATTTGGTACACGGATAAGTTATATTATACTAACTCGAAACATTTATTAATTTATTCATTAAAAATAATTATAACATTATAACAGCAAAAGCCAAATCAATGTTATAAGTCTAGTGTGCTAACATACAAAGTTATAATAAATGTATTTAACCCGACTCTAGATATTTCTGAGCCGCTTCTATATACATAGGAAACTTTATACAAATGAAACACGCAGGAAAAGCCGCCGCGTACAGTTAATTTAAAAATAAACATAAAAAAAAACTGTAAGTACATGTATGATTATTTTTAACAGTACCGGTAATAGATGCCAAAATGTACGTAAATGTGATTATTTGCATATATCTAATTTTTTCCCATGTGTGTCGTCACCTAAGGTTGTCACAGTGTGAACGTTGCTTATGTCCATTTTATGGCACGCGCGTTGTCTGATTAGTATATTTAGTATTATAGTGGCGGCCAGACGGCCTCCTTTAAAATCTAGTATTATTAAAATAATAATTATTACGATAGTTAATAAAACTCCAACTGTATTATACATTATTATTATTATAAATAATTTAAATAAAAAAAATGACTGTGATTAATGTAGCAAAAGTGCAAGGTGATATATATAAACAAATTGAAAAATTTGGTCGTTACCAATTGTTCCAATATTTTTTGATATGCATACCTTTATTCATGGTGTCTATGGCTCATGTTAATTATGTGTTTGTTGCTGAAGAAGTTGATTATAGGTGAGAAGATTTTTTTTTTTTTAATTTAGCAATGTGATGTCAAGCAAAAAATAGTTTATCACATCGTAGGGTGCTATATAGTTACTCAAGTATTTTAAGTTTATGTATTTCTAGCAGTAGCCTGCAGCTTTGCTCGCGTAAATAAATATTTAAAGTATCCTATGTATAAACATATAATCTACCCGTGTACCAAATTTTATCCAGATTTGTTCAGCCGCTTAAATCTGATTGAGTAACAAACAACTAAAGATCTTTAAAAACTTTCACATTTATAATATTACTGACTTTAGCTCGTAGGTTTGTTGACATCATCATCATCATATCAGCTTTTAACTGTCCACTGCTGAACATAAGCGGGGGAACATATCTAGGAAGGTTGGGTGGTTTTGCCAGTTGTTTCCACGCTTGGCAGGCGTACTGGCAACCGCAATTAGGCTTTGGAGATGTTTTAAGAGGGATGCTGTTGCGTATCTCTCGCCCTCTCTTAGTCGCCTCTTAGTGTCAACCCACGGGAAAGGATGGGGTGGCCTATTCTATGCCGGGATCACACGAGTGTGTCGACATGAAACAATATAATTATAAAGTATTCTATTTATTGCTTTCGGATATAACTTACCTGTGTACCAAATTTTATTCAAATTCGATCAACCATTTAAGCGTGATTGAGTAACGAATATTCATCCACACGTCCTGATAAACTTTCGCATTTAAAATAGTAATAAGATTAATGGAATAGTAGGATTGGTATAATAGTGTGTGTACATACAAACATTATCAATAATACAACGTATTCACCATAAAATAGTGGACGGCTCGTGTTCATTGCATTGTGCAACCTAGTCGAAACGACGCGTGAATACATTAACCCTCCTAAGAATTATTTCACATATTACACATCGTCAGCGGGTTCTAAACTAAGCAGAGTTTGTATTGCGAGTAGCTACTAGATAAAAATACTTTTTTTTTTTAAATACATATACACGCATAATTATCCACAAATGTTTGTATTTTGCGAAGCTCGAACCTGCAATTAACGCATGAAATAGTATGATTAGACGAGCCAAACACAAATTAAATTTAAATAAAACCATAGAACAATTTGAATTATAATCACACACACACATACACACACTCGCGTACGACGTATCCTTACTACGTACTTGCTTACTAGTATAATTAAATTGTAATTAGAATTAAGAGAAATTGATAAGAGGTTTCCGACTTAAAACGTTTCGATATTTCATCTAGAATTGATTACCTGCCCTTACCTTTGTTCATGTTTATGCAATAATAATATTATGTAGGTACTACGTACAAATTCATACTTTAGCAACAATTTCGTCATTTACCAACATGGAGTGATCATTCCGATATTGACGATTATTGGTTCAGCTGTGTGTGGTTTATGATCGTGGACCTAATCCAGAGCTTGTGTTTGTTTTAGTAATCTATCTGGCTAGATTTAGGCAGTTGAATTCGGATTCGGTTTTGATAATCATTCAACTCCCAATTCGATCTCCTGGTTTTGTATAGAGACGTTGCGTCTCTTTGCTTTTTTATCGCATCAAAGGAAGTGCAGAGGAATTATTTGGAATAATATCAGCTGCTGACTTTCATAACCGAAGAACCTGTTACAAGCTATAGTTTTATTACATCTAAATAAGTGGCGGTCTTACATCGTATGAAACCAACTTTGAGCAGCAGTATTTTCGAACAGATACGTCCTTGTAACCATCAAAAAAGGGGGGGGGAAGGGATTGTTAGCAATGTTAGACGCCCCATTGCTAGCAATATGCCCTTTTACGTCGACCTCCACGTGGTTCCCCCTGGAAACCATCGGAAACAATTCTTGTTGAATTCGTCACGATGGGCTAACTGACCTGCTTCATCCTCACCTATCATCCTTCACTGGTGCCCCACCGGTGTATACCGATAGTGCAGGTGGGGTTACCATTCCATTATCACCCATTAAAAAAAACTTTCAAAGAAGAGCATATTCCTTCTTAAAAGGCTGGCAATGCATATTTATTTGATGTATTGGGTACCTATGAGCGGTGGTAATCATTTACCATTGGATAAACCGCATGCTCGTTTGTACCTACGTTATAAACGAAACTGCTGGGTATGGGCCTTGTCATAGAAGGAAATAGTAGAATTATTATCGTACTAGTCAGGCCTTTATTTTTTTGTACCACCGGCGTTTCTAAACAAATAAGACTTGAAGACCTTCAAGAAGAGAATGTATACCTTTTTAAAAGGCCAGCATAGCACAGGCAACTTTTCTGGTATTTTTTGTCTATGGGTTGTCTATGGTCTTTGCCACCCTTTACACACACACACATATATATATATATATATATATATATATATATATATATATATATATATATATATATATATATATATATATATATATATATATGTGTGTGTGTAAAATATATATATATATATATATATATATATATATATATATATATATATATATATATATAGTCCTTAATTTAAATAATTAATTAATTAATTGTAAGTTAAATTAAAGTAAGCTTAATTGTAAATATTTTTCATAACTGAGGATACCTGTAATGTTATTCATGTAATATGCGCTTTTGCACTCTGAAACAACTTTAATGCATCCCTTTTGAAGAATTTCTGCAGTTCCTAGTAATAACATAGGCAGGGAGCTCATTACATACACTGACTGTTAGCGGAAGGAAACTAAAATCATGACAGTGACGAAATTAATTGTAGCAAAAGATAAAGAAAAGTAATTATGTTATTCAAAGTATTTAGTTACCTAAGCATGTACTCGTATACTTTTGTAACAATTGGTTAATTTACATGTATTCTTTTGGCTCATTTCCAAAACGATGTGACTAACGTGACTCTTACATGTCTTTCAGAATGGATCTAATTTTATTTAAAAAGAATATTTTTGACGTATTCTACTCTCAAGTCTGAATCGATATCATGGTTAATTTAATTTTTACTTCATACTGATCATGTCAAAGAAGCTTACAATTTTTTCGTTAGAAAATGAATAACTGTTTACATGTAATTGTGCCTATAGGCATGTTTAACACTATGAATCAGTCACAGTGTAAACGCCGTCTGTCTCCGTTTGGAAAGCCTTAATAGATGTCTTCGTATATAACGAAGGTAACTTAGAAAAACATCAGAGGGAGATATCCTCACATGAGTAATATCTGGTAGTAGCATATAATCCTTCATATGTGCAGTAGCACATATGAAGTTATATCTTAATCTTTGAAGTACAAAGATTAAGATTTCTTGACACAAGAGGTATTATTAACTATTTTATTTTTCCCTTACTATGATATCTTTCAGATCGAACTAATGCATTTATTTCTACTTAAGAATATTATACAGAAGAATCATAAAAACTCTTACATATGTGACCTAACGTAATTTGATTGGATAGGAAGGTAAGGCAGGTCAACCTCTAAATAGCTCCTGGAAATTATTATGGTTAACGTTTCTTAAATTCGTCACAATGAGTTAACTTACTTAACTTCGTACTGTCATTTCATCCTATCATTCCATCTTCATCCAATCAAGAAGAAACTTAATTCGGTTTATACAGTTAATAAGATAATTTGTAATGTAAATGAAAACGAATCGGCAGGTATTTGAACACATGTCGTGCATTTTTGTTTTACCAAAATTAATTCACATTGAACTCACCTCTGCAAACGTCACGCTATTCTGAAAATAGATGTATGTAGGTAGGTATAGGCGGTAAATAGTAACGGTTATTATTTACACTCATAAATCTATATTTAGATGTAAATAAGATTATTTATAGATTATATATATATATATATATATATATAGATATTAGACCAGATGGTCTATTGTATGTAATTATAATACAAAATAAACACTGTATGCAAAATAGTTAATTATTATGTTGATTGATTTTATTATTCAATAAAGTTAAAAAAAAATATACAACTTGAAATGTCTAAGTGACGGATGTGGACTTAGTTTTTTAATGATTAAAGTCTTAAATAGATGGAATGGTGCAATCCATTTACAAGGGCGGGGTGCTAGTGAAGGATGAGTGATGAGGTTGAAGTTAGATGAGTTGGTCTATCGTAGCGAATTCTTTGGGAATTAAATACGATAGTTTCCAGGGAGTACCGCGCGAGGTAATTTATTCATTTAACACTTTATTGCACCAATATTCTAGGAATTGTTGAAGGTTTTTCAATAAGCATAGTGTATTACAAAAGTCAGTTTTATTGCTAAGCAATCTCTTCCAGACAACCTTTGAATAGAAGGAATTAAAGAATGAACGGGTAGGTGGCGCGTTAACATAAAATAAATGTAAAAATAAACATATGTAAATAAGCACAATTGCATTCATACGTAATTAATACGTTTTTCTAAAGAGAACAATAACGTAGTTGTTATGTATTCACGTTTATTTATACAGGTGTAACCTGGATGACAGACAAGCTTATTTCGATGAACTTAACGTAATGTATGTAACGTAACACGTGGAGAATTTTCTAAGCCCATAATGGTTAATATTATTATTATTTTATTTGAAATCTCACACCATAATTGGGGAGTTTCATAGAATTATTTGGAGTTTTTTTTTATGTAAACATATTTGTATACATACTTGATGCATGCCTGATTATCATATCAAGAATTTCTTGAATTAATATTATTAAAGCTGTCTATAAAACATAGTTTTTACAAGACGGACCCATACCACAAGATAGGTATTTAATAACGCCTATTTCACACTTACATATCAATAATTTATATCGATTTAAATTTTAAATTTTGTATGATGAATCTAATTAAGTAAACTATAATAATTTACCTGGGTTATCAGCCGTGAATATAATAAATAAGTAATAATATGAAATAGTAAGAAGTCATACCAAATAAGATGTTCTGCTTCTTCAAAGATATTAGTACATAGAACATTATCAATACATGATTATGTTCTAGGTACGTAAGCTCCAGAAATCCATATTAAGCCCCTTATTTATAAAAACTAAAACTTTTTACAAATCTATTTTAATATTACACTGTATTGTCACTTTTTTTCCAAATTGGGAATTTAATTCAAAAGAAAGAGACAAAACAGTTCTATAGCTAAAATAGGTTTATGAGAATTTTTTTTTATACAACCTAGAATGGCAAACAAGCTGACGGCCCACCTGATGGAAAGTGGTAACCCTCGCCTATAGACATGAGCAGTACCATGGACATAACAGAGTATACTGTTGCGCCCATGATACCCCCCATGCGTTGCCATTCCTGAGGACTCAGATGTTATTCCTCTGTACTCAGTAAATTCACGCCATATCCCACCCTTCAAACCGAAATACAGCTATGCAAACACAACTGCTTCACGGTTGAAACACGAATGGTACCAAAGCAATCGACTTTTGTACAAAGTCTCGATTTGTCGAGTTTCAGTCGAGATTTGACCTTTTTATGAATAAGAGGGTAAGTTTATAGTCGACGATTACCTTTTACTATCAGGTGGACCGTCAGATTATTTGCCATTCTAAATTGCATAAGAATAATAGCAATTGCTATTTCACGGAAGAATATAAAATAAAACTTAATTATCAGAAAACGGACCTTTTAATTTCGTGTGCGTAGAGACAACAAATTAGAAGAATTTAAATCGATGCTCATTGTACGAGTTCTCATTGTTAACAAGCTTTGAACAAGTATTGTCTTGTGTGTGTAGATACAGATGGTCTTATAAAGAAATGATTTTTATTACAATAGCCATAGAGTGTTGCTTAAAAACAAATACAATAGTTAAATAGAAGGATACGTCATGAACAATATTGGTGTTGGAAACTGACATCTAGCTAGTATGTTCAATTTAAGTAGATACAAGTGGTACAATGTGATGTCAATTGTTGTTCAATTTCCTGAATGCTAACTACTTTGAATGCTGAAAAGCTATTAGCTATACCTGGTACTACCATGACATTAATAGATAGGTAATTTATTGCCTCCTCTAAACATAAGAATAAGAATTCTAAATATAAAGATTTATTTTCATGATACCTGGTTGATTTTGGGTGTTTTCTTTAAACATTCAATATCAAAAAATATACACGAACGGTTTGTTTCTGGCAAATCTATTTTATATTATCAAGGTATGATTATGCACAAAGAAAAAGTGTATATATGTGTAAACTTAATCACCCTTCACTGATGCACCACCAGCGTATCCCGTTAGCACAGGCGGGGTTACCATACCATTTTCACCTATTAAAAAAACTTATATATTTATAGGCATATATGTAATTTAAAAGGGAAACTTTTTAAATTAAGAACGTACAAACGAGTCACAAATTCTTACAACTCTAAAATTTGGTAGAAAGTATGCGAAATCATATGACGTCCGAATTACAAATTCCTTCGACTGCAAGATTAATTTGGTAGAAAATTTTAGAGAAATTAAATTAAGTCTTGTATGTCAGATACGAAGTTGGCGTGGGGGGAAGAGATTCTTAGTAATAATAATCTACGGACATATTGTTTGCAATACACCATGTTAAATCAATCTTCACGCAATACCACTTGGCATCGTGATTAATTCTTAATGAACTTCTGTTTCGTTAATAAAAATAATATATACAAAAAATTGGTTAAATTCGTTGCCTTTGTCGTTTAGTAAGCAGGAAGCTTATACAACTAGATTGCAACATATACCTACTTGTCTCTAAAGTACAAATAGTTATTTTAGTCGCTTAAATATTTAATTGCAGCTCTTGTAATTCTAGTTGGGAGAGCCTCAGACTAGTTGGTAGAGTTTCATGTTTTTTATAGAACTTAAAATGGCGAATAAATTTATGGTTCGAACCTTTATGACTAATTCCAAATGAGAGGGGATAAGGGATTGTTAGTAACGGAGACTGAGAATCCCATTGTTAGCAATATACCCAACCAGGTCGACCTCCTCGCAGTTCCCCCTGGAAACTCTCATGGTTAATTCCTGATAAATTCATCACGTTGGGCTAACTGGCCTGTTTTCATTCTCATCTATCACCCTTCACTGGTGCTCCACCAGCGTGCCCCGTTAGCGCAGGCGGGGTTACCATACCATTTTCACCCACCAAAAAAAAAAAAAATTCCAAATAAATTCATCACGATAGGATTTCTTATCCATTATTCTATATTGGAGTCCGCATGATAACATAATTGATTTTTATCCATTATAGAAAAGAATTTCTAACTTAGTTGGCTATTTTTTTTTTTTGTAAATTAAAGTCGTCTAGCAGGTACTATATATACAGAAAATATTCTTAACTGTAGCATATTAATGCAAGTCCAGTCCAGTCCAGTCCAGTCAATAGGTATAATGACCTTTAAATACAGATAATCCAATAATTATATAATTCATTGAAAGTAGCTAAACTGCGTAATGTTATTTCTAGAAATTTTATTACGTCAGATCTTCTTTTTGCATAATTCTATACATACATAATGTAACACGAGATACATACGATGACATCTTTTGCTGACTTAAACTAGTATATTAACGGTACTCCTGACAGCAGTTTTTTTGAATGGGTGATAATGGAATGGTAACCCCACCCGCGCTATCGGTGTACACCGGCGGGGCACCAATGAAGGATGATAGGTGAGGATTAAGTAGGTCAGTTAGCCCATCGTGACGAATTCAACAAGAATTGTTCACGATGGTTTCTAGGGAGAATCACGTGGAAGTCGATCTAATAGGGCATATTGTTAGCAATGGGGCTATCAAATTCTATTACTAAAAATAACTGAATCCGAAACTAGTCATACAACTTACTGGTTAACAGGCAGCAATAAGTATTTCGAATTTTTTACTTTACAATAGTTAAATGCCAGGAGATGTTTATTTTAAACTATTGAACTCCAGCATCATACGGTTTTTTTTTAATAAAATACAGCCCATGTTACTTGTTAATATATTATTAGCTTTCTACAAACGAAATAATTTTTAAAATAGGTTTAATATTTCTTGCGAATAAAAAGATCTGTTATTAGTCTGATATTAGTTTAAAAAAATTCTAATGTGTTTTTTTTTTAATTCTAACATTTCAAAAATTAGGTGTTTCTATTTAAAAGGTATATGATTTATAATTACTGTGTGGTCCCGGTATAGAATGGGCCACCCCCTCCTTTCTCGTGGGTGTCGTAAGAGGCAACTAAAAGAACTTAATGATCGAGGGATGGGCAGCAGCGTCTCTCTTAAAATATTACCAAAACCTAATTGTGGTTGCCAAGCCGCCTGTCAAGTGTGGCAACTACTGGCAAAACCCTCCTGGGGGAGGTCTATGTTAAACATTGGACAGTTAACGGCTGGTATGATTACTTAATATGTACTTTAACTGAACATGGAATGTGCTAATAGAGTATAAAAAACTTCTTTCTAACCTATTGTCAATAGATACAATATAATGTACTACCTATCATTCTTTCAATGGTCACATCTAAACAACAATGTGTCCCGAATGATTATGTAAACATTCGGAACATATCAAAGCCTTTCGCTTACTTTTGCTTTTTAATAGATAATGAAATGATATTCATGTTTGTACTGTCGGTGTATGTTAGCGAGTTGCCAATAAGGGATAATAGTGGAGAGGAAGTGGTGGTGGAGGCAGTCAGTCAACCCCTCGTGGTTTCCAAGAGCAACCGCGTGGAGGTCTATCTGACGTTAATATATTAATAACAATGGTACCGATAGTCCCCGTTTTTAACAGTTCATTCCCCCTTTTGCTGACTGGTCATTCCTTACTGTAGTGCCAGTATGGTGCTTGTTCTTAAACACGTGACAGTCACGGCAGGGCACGAGTTACACAGAGTGTATAGGCAACTGTTGATTGACATGGATTTTTTTCTTTTGTTGCAGATGTAAGGTTCCTGAATGCGAATCACTCGATCCCAGTGTTAAAACACCTCCTTGGTGGCCCGAAAATGTAGACGAGAAATGCTTTCGACCGGTAATAGACCCCGAAGCATTCAACTTAGGGAATCATACATGTTCCAATTCTACATTCGTCGAGTTATTGGAAGAATGTGACGAATGGATTTATGAGAATCACAACTCTATATTTTCCGAGGTAAAGTATTATACATTCTATCAAAAAAAAAGTTTTTAAAAATATTTGAATATAAATTATTTATTCAAATGTAACTTGGCGTACAGAGATAATTTCATTAATCTATACATATAAATAAAATTGGAGTGTCTGTTTGTAATATTGAAATAACCGTTTTTTACTACATGTATATGAATATATATATACGGTACATATATCAAAATAACATTTTTTTATTATTTTTGTCTGTCTGTCTGTTTGTTCCGGCTAATCTCTGAAATGGCTGGACCGATTTTGACAAGACTTTTATTAGCAGATAGCTGATGAAATAAGGAGTAACTTAGGCTATGTTTATTATAGAAAAAATCTTTTATTTTAGAAAAATAAAGTCATGTTGCAGTGTCCAGTACCGCGCGCAGTTTAAAAATAAAATTAAATTATGTAGGTATCATAATAAAAAAAAAACTAAAAAATTAAAGAATCGATATTAATGTAATCTTTGTGTGCAATAAAATATAAATAAATAAAATATTTAATAAATTTCCATGCACATTACAAGTTAGAATTTATTTACAATATATATTTAAAAAAAATGAAATTTTTATTATTGTGAATACCTAAAGAAGGCAAAACCTCTTAAAATAAAAAAAAAAGCCAATGGACGAATATGAAACGGGGACAAAAGTTTTGCTATGTAAAAGAATAATACGTAATTGTCGATGGAATTAATTACTATTTTAACTGTATGCCTAATCTCTAGTAGAATAATTAAATACTTAATCATTGTGTGTAGTTTCTACATTAATTAGATTCTCGATAATTCTCGTATTTCATAGTGCATTCAGCATGAAGCAAGTATGTACGTAGCACGTACCTATGTACGAATTAAAAATTGAGCAAATATTAATAAGTAAAGAAGCGATGTTATTAGCAAATAATTCTTAATTATAACTACATGATTTGCTGCTTAAATAATTATTTATCTAGTTATACGAAAACATTAAAATTTAGTTCCGTCTGTATTGAATAATGTTTACTTACATAAGTACTGTTTTTACAAGAATAATTATCATACTTTTATTTTGATAATTTATGTCTGTGATCCTTTCACTGACCCTTTGATATTCAATTAAACTCAATATCTCCGAGTTGACCCTTTTGACTTTTTAAACATGTATTATATTTACATTAAATTATATCGTTTTCATTTTGTTTTATATTCTAACTCAACAAATTATAAAAAGGACTAGATAGCAACAAAACACTGAAATATAGAAATGGATATATTATGAGCAATTAGACGAAAATCTTCACAACTCAGTATACTCAAACTAGAGTGAAATTAGAAAAGTTTGTTTCTTCAATTAGAATTGAATTGGGACCTCATCTGCGCAAAACTTGAAATGCCTGCCATTACACCATGTACTTGACGAAAGCAATGGCTATAAATATCTATGTATCCACAAACTGTTTTTGAAAGTAGTTTAAAAATCGTAATATGTCTTTAAAAGTATGTATAATATAAAGCATGTATAAAAAAGTATGTATAAAATAAAATGTAAAGCATGTAAAATGTAAATGGTTGACCATTCGTAACCGCAAAGACTTACGTATACTTTGCACACTGTTCTCTATCCTCAATGATCCTTCCTCTCCTACTTATTTGAAAGATAGATTTCAGTATCTCAAAGACTCCCATACCCTTAATCTTCGGTCATCTCATAATCTCCTCCTCATCACCCCGTCACATCATTCCGGATTTATGTCCAATTCTTTTACTGTCACCGCTATCAGCCTTTGGAATAAAATCCCTGTAGATCTACGCAGAGCATCAAGTAAAGATATTTTTAAAAGAAGACTTTTTAATTATTTGTTGAGTCAACAAAACCAGCGCTAGTTACAGGTCACTCAATAGTTATTATATCTCATAATGCTTATCGTTGTTTTAATTTATGTATATATATATATATATATATATATATATATATATATATATATATATATATATATATATATATATATATATATATATATATATATATATATGTATATATTTCATATGTATTAGTTTATCCATATATATTAAAAGTAATGTTTATGTATTATATGTGCATTTCTTATGTGTATTATATTTATATTGTGTATTGCCTTAATGTGTTACTATAATTGTCACATATTTTTCACCACATCTGCCCTTCATACGCTTTCTATTTTTACCCAATGGTTAGCTGGTAGAGAATGCCATATGGCATTAAGCTCGCCATTTGTACAAAATTTTATTGTGCAATAAAGAATAAATAAAATAATTAAATAAAAACGCCTTTCTTAAATCTTCTGTATTTATGAATAATGTATGCTTTTTTTTGATTTGATAGAGTTTATTTTCTTGTTGGTCATTTATAATTTTTCTCACTATTTAAGTCACTTTTCCCTATTATGGATAAAAAAAAACTCTAGATATATTCCACTATTGTGATGCAATCAACAAACTGCAACTGTGTAATTTTTTTTCTAGCTTAATCTAGGCTGCGAATCGTGGAAGGCTACATTAGTAGGCAGTGTACACAACGCAGGAATGATCCTATCCATGCTATTCACTGGTTGGGTCACTGACAAGTAAGTTTTATATTTTATAAACTTGAAACAAACCAGTCTATATATAATACTAATTTGAAAATTTTTATCTCCGACAAATCGAACATATATCTCTCAACGTATCTTATTTCAAGATTAAAATTCGTAATGGAAGGATTAGAAAATATTTTCAGATATGATAGGATCCCTTTAGTAATACTTTTACTAGTTACTTTTGCCAATCTTGATTTCTTGCGCAGACAGTGGACATATTAGAGAATAAGTTTCTAGAAACTATTGCAGTTTACAAATCCTATATTACAAATAAAATAAATTTGGTTAGCTTAAAACCGGTCATTTGACATTAAACAAGGTTTTATATTTATGCATGTAAGACGAGGACAGTGATTGGATTTTGCTGCCGTTATAATGGCTATGTATCCGTTATAATCGTAGGTAAAAGTTTATTATATTATAAGATAAATAATAAACAACATTGGACAAATAAAGCACATCTGGTTTTATGGGAAAAATAGAAAAATATGCGTTTACTTTATGTGAATGCATATACCATTATATCAGCTTTTAATAGTCGACTGCTGACCCTTGGAGGGTTTTGCCAATAGTCGCCACGTTTGGTAGGCGAATTGGCAACCGCAGTTATGCTTTAGCGATGTTTTAAGAGGAACGCTGCTGCTCATACCTCGCCCTACCTGAGTCTCTAGTAGTCTAGTCGTCTCTTACGACACCTACGGGAAAGGGTGGCCTATTCTATGCCGGGGCCACACGGCTAAAATGCATATATATTATATATAAAAAAAACTTAGAATAAACATGGGTAGTACCTACTCAATAATTATAATGACTATGTTGTTTGGGAATCGTACCCCGAAAGGTGAAGTAGTGTGTTTACTGCCACATTACCAAGGTTTCAGAATAAAAGGAATCGTTGATTTATTATAAAAATAAAAAATGTATATTACAGCTACAAATTTTACATTTGGTCCTTCGATATCCTATTTATAGGGGAGGTTTATGTCCAGCAGTGGAAGGATAATGGCTGAATTGAGGTTGATGATATGATTTTTATAGCTATTTGCAAATTGTTTTTATATTAAAAGTAAAAGTGCCCGTAACCGGCGAGCGTGTATGAAAAGATTGATGAATGTAGAGGAAACGAAAGACGTTTTTTTGAATCGAAGCATTTAGCGTTCCATTGTTTCTGCCTACCCAAATGGGAAACAGGCGTGACAGATATGTATGTATGTGTGTTTTTATAACTATTACGCTGTTATTTTTTGTAGTTGTTTTCCACTTATTTTTATTTACTATGCTTTTTTGCCTTCATGACCATACTATTGCATTTAAATGTATAAAAATAATTACCCATACGTACCAATAATATTATGGTGTGTATTTCAGACTCGGAAGAAAACCCACGTTAATAATTTGCTCAGTAGGAGGTTGCATCGGCGCTATTAAAATTTTTATAACAAGTTATTATACGTACCTAGTAGTGGAATTTTTAGAATCTGTCGTTTGTTCTGGACTTTATACGGTGGCTGTTGTATTATGTAAGTCAATTTATTAATTTAAATAAAACTATCAAATAAGTTCTCAGAGGTTATTAAGCTTTATCTACTGCTGCAGTCAAGCATAGTCACTGCGTTATGATTCGTATGATTTTATGTGCCCTATGTGCTATAGCCCTTCACCTTAAAAAACTATACCAGCAGAATGTAAAATCCATCAGGTACCCATTGAAGTTGAAACTGTGTACAAATTACTACAATGCAGATACTGCCACTTTTATATAATAAACAGATTTTGAGAAAAATGTATCTTCAATTTATAGCGAAAGTTCTACAAAATTTGTTGAAAATATAAAAAATAATGTTGCCAAAAGACTCAAGAGCTTAAACTTTGTTAACTCTAACTTGTTATTTTAATTAGTTTAAAATTATACATTATATTTAGTTACGAAAATGTTTTAAAATGGAAACATATATTTAAACTTGATAGATTAGATAGATTGATTAAGAATTAAGTACATAATTGCATTTTATAGTAAAATTTGGAGATAAAGATTATATTTCTGGCCAATAAACATTCTGTATCTTGATATGTTATTTAATTTTCAGTGATAGAGGTTGGCGGGGAATCAAAAAGAGTACTAGCAGGAGTTATATTTTCATATGCAGTATATGTTGGTGAAGTGGCATTCGCTTTTATAGCTATGGGACTAAAGTTTTGGAAACTGATAGTACTAGTCGTCTACACTCCAATGATATTACTTGTATCATACATTATATTATTAAAAGAAAGCACACGATGGCAAATGCTTCGTGGTAAAATGACAGAGGCAAAGGACACGCTCAAAGTAATCAGTAAATCAAATAAATTAAACATTTCCCCCGAAGAAATAGATGCACTGAGTGATGAAGAAATAAGAATGAAATTTAATATAGAGACACAGAAAGAGAAAGAAAACTTTAGAGACATATTAAACTCAAAAGAGATTATGACCCGAATTGGTGTCACATCTATTTGCTTCTTCACATCCAGTTTTCTGTATTACGGCTTGGTGGTACACTCGATTCTTTTGCCAGGAAACAAGTATACAAATTTCATCTTATCTTCGTTGACTTCATTCCCTGGAGATTTATTGGCGTTTTACACCTTTAACAAGTTTGGAAGAAGGATAACATTGCAGAGTGGTTATGCTTTCTCCGCCATATTTCTCATAGCACAAACTTATGCACCAGATTGTAAGTATCCTATAAACTAGAATATTGTTATAAATATTTCTCTTTGTTATTATCATTCTATTAAAAGAGACAAGCAAATTTATAGCTCATTTGATGTGAATAATAATAATGATATCTCGGATTATTTTTTATGCATTGGCTTGAGGACAAAACTCGAGACTCTTAAGACTTGATTAATCATACAAATTAATTGACATCTTTTTTTAATAATAATAGTCTTTATTGAATAACAAATTACACCTTTAAATTACATTGTATGTTACTCATATATACATATTTTAATACACGTAGGTACAACTCTCTTGGGCTTCGAGCATTTATAATAGAAAACATCTCGTTTGTCAAAATGCCTATTGAAAGGAATCTCTTATCAGAATAAAAATTTTGAAATCTATAAGAGATTCTTCATGATTATACATCAAGTACTTGTTCTTTCTACAGCTGACTTATGGGATCCTTTGATTAGAAAATCATTAGCATCATCGGAATTTAACAGAATAAATTATCAACTATTTTTTCTTTTCAGCTATCACTTGGTTGAAGGTTCTATTGTTCCTATTAGGAAAGTTGGGAGTAGTTGTATGTTTCACTGGCATATACACATACAGCTTGGAACTATTTCCGACAAGCGTGAGAGGGTCGCTGGTTGGATGTGGTAACACTGCGGCGAGAATAGGAGCTATGTTAGCACCGCTAACACCATTATTGGTATGATTAACACTCTTGTTTACTCTTAAATTGTTTTAAAATTGTTTAAATAGTAGCTAGGTGTAAATCGAAGTAAATAGATGTGTATGGTATAGTGAGATCATACTTTTCGAACGAAACAAATAATCTTAAACCATTTTGTTTGAATTCGTTGTTAAAGATTTTCCTATTGAAATATGTAATTAACTGACAGATATATTGATTTCCTTGTTGTTAAAAACTATGAATTGGGGAAGTTTTTATTTAAACTATTCCATTTGAGAATAGAATAGGTTATATTGTCATACAATGCACTACCGATGTGACATCATAATTGTGGTTAGACTAAAATCACACTTTTTTTTTTAAATTTTATACATACTATTTGGAACCGTTTCTTTTTAAGTTCCTTAGGCCTGTTTTTGTCTTTGATCTTCTATTTATTGTGATTCTATATATTTTTTCAAAACTTTCTGTCTATTATATATTATTTGTAATGGTAAAGAAGCTGATGTTCCACTTGATAGAAAGTGATAACCGTCGTTTATAGAGACGAACAGGCCTCACTGATATTTTTTTATATCAGGTCTCTTTCTAATAAAATCTATATAATTAGTAACTACAAACTTTTTTTATTATGTTTGTTGTTTTCCATCCATTTTTTATGCAACTTAGAATGGTAAACAAGCCGACTAGCTATCTGATGAAAAGTGGTAACCGTCGCCTATAGACATGAAGAGTACCATAGACGTAACAGATTATATTATTATACTGTGTGATGTGACAAATGGCGACACATGATGCGTTGGTATTCCTGAGTACTAAGGTGTTACGTCTCTGTACTTTGTAATTTCATTGCCATATCACACTTTTCGAACCGAAACACAGTTACGCAGACATGATTACTTTACGGTAGAAACACGAATGGGTCATAGGTGCCCTAGCAGACGACTTTTGTATAAAGTCTCTTTCTGGTAAATTTAATCATGAAGGCAGGCAAAGGTCTAAAATTTCTAACTATTTTTAATTTATATTTTTTTTCAGACGACGGAACTTACGGCTTTACCATCTATTCTGTTCTCGTCAACTGCCGTTGTATCCGCATTACTGCTCACATTTACACCTGAAACCAGGACAATGCCCATGTTTGACACGATCGCACAAATAGATTCGTACAAAAATAAAGTCACTACGCATTTGTGAAGAAAATAGACATAATGAATTTGTTATTCACCATTAGGTAGTTGACATTTACAAAACATTTTTATAAAAATAAGTGATTATATCGGGCCATGTTAAAAATATATACCTATATAAAAGAATGTACAGTAAGAATTTATATTTATGCGACTTAGATTAGTAACATCAGTTAACATAATGAATAATGAATAACTAAAGAAACTGTTAATGATGATGAAAAAAAGCGAGAAGACGTCTGCATTCCAAAGTTGATGAAGTTAAAATATATACAAAGTATGTGAACGAATTACTTACTTTGATGATAAGTGGTTTTTATTTTAAATGTGATACTATTTTGTAATAAGTAATTCTATTGTGAAATAGATATACTTTAAGTATATTATAGAATACATATTATGTATAAGGTAAACTTGTAACTTTCGATAGTATTTAAGAAATAAGTAGGTAGGTGTATTTATGTGTGTGTATTACTTATTACTTATATAAGTACTTATGTGAGTTATTAGCTGTATATAATATAAGAGGTATTAATATAGATACCTAAAATTTATATCGATCTTTGGACTACAGTTTCCATATCATAATAACCATGACGTGCCCGTGAGTAGAATGGATCATTCATTAGTAATTGAAGCTCATAAAATGAATCTTTTATTTCATTGATATTTAATATTAAATTAGGTACGTCTTTCATGTTTATTTGTAGTAAGTGCGATAAATAATTAAATAAGACATTAAATTACTGTAGGTAAATACGATGAATAAATGAGATGTTATATACTTAGTTTTTTTTTTTATTTATTTATCAACCTTATTTAAATATTTTAGTAGATATAGAAATCAATAAGTTTCTGTATCTATTAAAAATATATCTTTTATAACACTTTCTTTGTCATAGCATCATATCCGCCGTTAACTGTTCATTGCTGAACGTCGGTCTCTCGTTTGAAGCGGTAGCTCTCATATGTCAGTAGTTGCCACTCTTAGCAGGTAGATTAACAACCACAGTTTGTTTTTGTTTAATGGATGATAATGGAATGGTAACCTCGCCTGCGCTAACGGTATACGTTGGCGGAGTACCAGTGAGGAATGATAGGTGAGAATGAAAAAGCAGGTCAGTTAACTTATCATTTCGAATTCAGTGCGATGGTTGCCAGGGGAAACCAGGTGGAGGTCGATCTGACAATCTGTTCCCCCCACTGCAGTTAGGTTTTTGATGATGTTATAAGAGGGACACTGCTGTCCATCCCTCGAACATAGTTATAAAAGTTCCCTTAATCGCCTCTTACAGCACGTACTGGAAAGAAAGGTGTGGCCCATTCTATATCTATGCCTTTTGGTTTTTATCAGTTACCACAATATCGCATCTGAAGATTGAAGGATTTTTTTTTATAGGTGATAATGAAATAGTACCCCACCCGCGCTATCGGTATACAGTGGCGGCGCATCAGTGAAGGATGATAGGTGAGGATGAAGCTGGTCAGTTAGCCCGTCGTGACCAATTCAACAAGAATTGTTTACGATAGTTTCCAGGGGAAACCACGTGGAGGTCGACCTAATAGGACATATTGCTAGCAACGGGGCTGTCAAACTCCATTGCTAACAATCCCTTTTCCCCCAAACGTTTGCATTAGACAAGATTCGGAAAAAGAAATTAACACAGTTTATGTGATGGTCAGCTTTAAAAACCTAGAGTTTATAATAAAGTCAGAATAATAAAGTCATAAATTTGTACCCACTCAGAGCGAGTAGGTACAAATGTTTTTTCAATCTTGGGATTTTTTATAAGTTAATAAGCATTTAAAATCTTGCATATAAGTTACAGAACAAGTAATCAATATAATATAGTTATTTTGTCTCATGTTCGTATTTCTAGATATTTGTAGCTTTTTTTTTTAATTCACATTTTAGAGTTAGTACTACTGTTTGCGACACAACTAGTTACTACTGTTTTTCATTTTAATGCAACTGGAAAATGAATTTGTACAATCATCTAAGTACAATATAATGAGTAAATATTCGTAGTGTTGTACAATTATTTATAAAAAATATTCTTCTGTCTAATATTGTGATGTCTATAGGTAAATAATTTAATATTTTACATACGTCCAGAATTTTCAAAAATCTATTTATTTGTTTAAATATTGTCCTCTCTTAAAAATTCCTCATATAACAAAGTTATAGTAGAAAATGTGATCATACGAGGTGTTAGCTGTCTTTTGAGAGAGGTCAAAATAGGTCGACAAAAATAATTAATTACGGACAAGGAAGAAATACAATACGAAGCCAGAATGGGAAAACAATCATAAGTTTACAAAACCAATAAAAAAAATTATAAAGTTCTTGCTTTAACTTTCCGCAACTTTGAGTAATTTTTTTTTTAGTACGTTTGTTCCGTTTGGAACAGGCTAAGGTCGGAGACCATGCTGCCTAGTCTTCAAAAAGATAATTTGTCTGGAATTTTATTTTTCTAATGTCGCTTCAATTATTGTCATAATCTTCAATATTTCATTTGTCAAATCCGGTAAGTACATTTTCATAAATATCTTTTCTTGAGTTTTCTTAAACCAGTGGATTTATCAAATTAAAAATAAATAATTATAAAAAATCATTGTCTTGCAATTCAATAAAAGTATTCTTATAGCTCCTTGAATGTTGTAGTAATATAAGTGAAAATAGCTTTGAAACAAGAAGGAAATCTTAAGAGAAGCGGGATTGAGTGCGGGATATTTTCGGGTTTTTTGAAGATAATCCTAAGTTCGTCAAACATAATGTGTCTTTGAATGACAAATTCAGAGCAATCAAAAAAAAGGTGATGTAGAGATTGGGCTGTATTTGAGTTACACCATGTGCATGATGGGGAAGCGATCATGCCCATTCGGTGCAGGTGTTCGTTGAAATGTCCGTGGCCGATTCGTAATCTACAAATATTGGTGTAAAATTTTCTGTTTGTGTCCTTTCCTTTGCAGAACCACGGTTTTCCAATACGCCAATTAATTTTGCGGTACCATTTGCCTTTAGTCTGTAATATTTGAGTCCAATGCTCCTCCCATTTAGTTGTAACGATTTTATGTATTCCAATACTACAATCTGAGTAACAAAGGGGTAAATCTTGAACACGAGGAGCACTTGAATTAATAATTTTAGCCAAAGTGTCTACTTGTTCATTCCCAAACACTCCAATATGTGAAGGGGTCCAGATGAAGATAATATCTTTTCCATATATAGTACAGAGATGATAATATTTATTACGAATTTCTTGAATTAAGTAGTTTGATGATGAAATGAATGTGTTATTTTTTAATGCCATAAGAACACTCATACTATCTGTAATTATAATCCATTTCGAATATAGTACCTGTTTTTCTATGTATTCTAATGCTAAAAATATAGCTTTTGCTTCTGCTGTGTAAATACTAGCCAAAGTTGAAATTTTATAACCGTGACCAAATCTATTTGACAAATCGTAAAAAGCCACTGAAGTGCTAAGTGCATTTTTGGAACCATCTGTATATATCTGCCTGTAGTCAATAAATTCTGATAAAGTCTCATACATATCGTGCTTTTCTTTTATGTCTTTACGTATAACAATTTTGATCTTACAGAACTTACTCTCATAAAGGCCATTATAACAAGGAAGTATCTTACTACTATAGATGTTATATTCATCTCGTAAATTCAAATCATTGACAATAGTTTTATTCAAAAACATAGAAATGGGGCAATTTAATAATTTGAGTATGAGTGGGTTATTGGAAACTGAAAAAACTTTGAAGAGAAATTTGAGTTTTAGGTATTCGAAACGAAGAAGGATAGGAGGCAAATTACATTCTACTTGCATTGAGATAATTGGAGAAGTATACATAGCACCTAAAATAAGTCTTAAATTCATATTTTGAATTTTTTCGAGTTTTTCTACTAATTTATGTTCTGAGGCATAACAAAAGAAAGCGTAATCAAAATTACTTCTAACAAGAGATTTGTAAAGTAAAAGGATAATTTTAGGATCAGCTCCCCAGTTACGACCAATTACAGATCTTATTATATTAGTGGCTCTTAAAGCACGATCTACTAAGCAATCAACGTATAGATCCCATTTTAAATTTTGATGAAAAATTACCCCCAGAAATTTAACGCTACAGTCTGTTGGAAGAGTTTGATTATTATATATAATATTCATTAATGGAACATATTTATGAACTTGATGAAAAACAACTACTTTACTTTTGGTTAAACTAATATCGAGGGAAAGAAGAGAAAAATATTTCTCAAGTCTTTTTAATGACTCATTTAACACTAATTGCATATCAATAATATTCTTTCCTTTTATATAAATTAATAAATCATCGGCAAATTGCAAGTTGTTCACACTGTTTCCTAAAATTGAATTAAGTTTATAGATATATAAAATATATAGTAGCGGGCTTAGAATACCACCTTGACATACTCCTTTAGAGCTTAACCTAGGTCCTATTAATTTACTATTTACTTTAACATACACTTCTCTATTACTAAGAAAATTATAAATCCATTCGATAAGTTTCATTGGAAGAAATGAGGATAAAATCGAAGATAGAACTGTTAAATTTACATTGTTAAAAGCTCCTACGACATCTAAAAAAACAGATAGAACATATTCATCGTTATTCAAAGCAGTACTAAGGTCGACATAGAAGTTCGCTAAACTTTCGCGCGCTGAATATCCACGGCGAAAACCAAATTGATTCGATGGTAATATACTATTACTTTCAATAAAGAACTCTAAACGCTGTTTAATTAATTGTTCGAATAATTTGCCTGCACAGGACGTCAATGTTATAGGTCTATAGGAGTCGAAATTTGTAGGATCTTTACCGGGTTTAATTACTGGAATCAAACAATCCATTTTCCATTCTGGTGGGATAATACAGTCCTTCCATAAATCGTTAAAAATTTGTAAGAGTTTAGTAAGGTTTATTTTATTCAGCAATCGAAACATATTGTATGTTAAGCGATCAAGGCCACTAGCTGTATCTTTTCTAGATTTTACTGCACTGGATATTTCATCAATTGAGAATGGGTCAGTGAGAAATTTTGGGCATGAATTAACAGAATTAAACTGTTTGTCATCAAAAGATGAGTGTACAAAATCAGGAGTATATTTGCGTAAAAAATCATTGACCCATGATATATCTTTAAAATGATTTTGACGATGTTTTGAATTTAGTTTTCTCATATTTTGCCAAACAGTGGAAATTGGTGTTAATCTATTAAATTTGGAACAAAATTCCTGCCACCCCTGTTGTCTTACTTGCTTAATTACTAACTTTTTAACAGCTTGAACTCTTTTAAAATTTATGTAATTATCGAGAGTTGGATTTTGTTTAAACCTAAGGTAAGCCGCTTTACTATCATTGACAGCTGTCGCACACCTGTTATTCCACCAAGGTACTGCAATATGTTTGTGCCTCTTTGAAGTATTTGCACCGCTATTTGATAAGTTCCTACGTGGAACGGAACGTTCCACAGCTGTCAAAATAATTTTACAGAACCTATTGTAATTGTTTAAGGGTTCATTGACATCATACTCGAAATCCAAAAGTAATTGATTAACAGTTTCAGAATAAAGATCCCAATTAACGAGACGTAGGTTTATACGATTTAACAAAAGTTTATTAACTTCATCTATAGGAGCATGTTGTTCACCTGACGGAGTTGATGAAGAGTTCTTTGTGTTTATTTTAGTAAAAGTCGGCAGGTGATAACTTCCTAACGGATCATCATGAACCGACCACTCGCATTTTAATGATATGGATGGGGATACCATAGTTAAATCAAGGCCATTGGGTCTCCAAATATGAGAGCCAACAGTAGTAACTTGCTTATCATTTAATAGTACCAAATTACATTCATCTAAACAATCAAGAATGTCTTTACCTCTTGTATTAGTGGAGGTACAACCCCACATAGTATGATGTGCATTTAAATCTCCAGATATGATAGTGGGTTTAGGAAGAGACTCCAAAAAGAACTTAAATTTGGCTTTAGTAAAACTAGGTGTACTATTGGTAGGACAGTAAATACTGGCAACTGAATACCAAGAATTATTAACTTCAATACTAATAGCTATAGTTTGCAAAGAATTGTCGAAAAAAGAGTGAAGTTTTTTATATCTAATACTATTATGTATAATAATCGCTACTCCATTGTGGTTATTACCACAATCATTTCGTTCTATACAATAATCTTTAATTTTTAATTTGTAATGTGGTTTTAGCCAAGTTTCTGAGATGAGAGCAATGTGAATATGATGTTCATTTAAAAATTGTGTAAAAATATGTCGATTGCTCAGTAGGCTCTGAGCGTTCCACTGTATGATAGTTAATTGGTCTCGATTGAATTTTGTGAAATAGGTCTATTACCAAAAGTATCATATAACACATTCAAAACACTTTTAGTGTTAATAGATGTGTTCTTTGTGTTATGTAGTGAAATAAGTTTGATTATGCTTTCTATTAAAAGTGATAAACTCTTGTTATCAGAATTTAGAATTGAAATTAGGTCTACATTTTTTTTAGGTTTGTTACCCAGTTTAGGAAATATTTCAGTGCTAAGTATATCTCCAAAAGAAGCAGGTCTGAATTTAGATCTATTTTCAGCAATTTTCTTTTGTTTAACAGGGCATTGCGGTGATACACTTGTGTGATTTCCATTGCAGTGTACACAAATAGCGTTTTCCATTCCAGTTGTACAAGTTTTATAATTATGCTCACCTTTGCAGATGCTGCAACGCTCAGAATTCTTACAGAATTTAGCTAAATGTCCATACCTCAAGCACCGGTAGCATTGTTTAACTGGTGGTATATATGGAGTGACATTGTGGCGCCAACCTCCAATATCCAGATATTCAGGTAATACAGATGCAGCAAAAGTAATTGTCACGGTTAGAGTTGGCTGTAACACATATCCATGAGTCAAGGTATTTTTTCTTAAAATTCTTTTAATAGCAATAATTTTCTTAGAACTCGATATCATAGTATATATTTTTTTATTAGATATATTTGTAGGTACATTTCTAATAACGCCTGTAACTTCTGTTGAAGAAGCAGGAATACTGGCCTTAAAATGGTAGTCATTTAAAAAAGTTTTATTATTTAAAAAAGCATTGGCTAAGTCTGGCTTTTGAAAGTATACTCCGATTTTGAATTTATTTATAGATCTAAGATAAGTTACCCCTTTATTAAATCGTTTTAAACAGGAGGAGAGTGAGAGCAAGTCTCTGGATCCAATGGTTTTCTGACTATCTGAGGATTCTACAAAGACAACAAATTCTGTCCCAGGGGATTCCTCGGGATATCTTCTAATATAATCTGTGACGTAGTAAGGTTTATACTTATCGGCCTTATCAATTTCAGATTCTGAGTCAGTAGAAGTATCTTCCGAATATATATCCTTGTCATTACAAGGTTCATGGTCTACATCACCTGAATCGTCATCTTTTTTTTTCCTTTTTCTACAACTGCGCTTCCCCATGAATGCTAATTATATTACTGTCGCTGAATTTAGTGAAAATATAATATTTTATTCAATAATAAGAATTGATAGAGATAGTTTTAATAAATTAATAAAAAAAATTTAAAAAACCCGCTTGTTCTTATTCGAGTTTCCCGCCTTTTTTCCGCGCAACTTTGAGTAAAACATATTTAAAACTTCAAATGTGTTTTTAACGAATCCACTTTTTCTGGCACAGTCAGCAACCCATACTGTTTTTAATATTTTTAATGCGATTTTTTTTAAATATTTGAAATAGTTTTTTCTATAGTTTGTAGAGCCGAATTTTTAAAATTTTGATTTAAAATTTGTATAAAAATATTTTTTATATGTCAAAAATTGGATACTTTTTCGAAAGTTAAAATTCTATTATACTATTTATTTTACTAGATTATAACTACGAGTTTATTTTACAACATTTTTTTTAAATTTGCAGACCAATCCACATTTTCTAAATATATGATGCAGACCACGGAGCGATTTTTTTCTCGGAATTGTGTTTCCGTGATTTTTTTTATTTTTGTGCATTTTTAGCTTGATGTATGTAAGGCATTAAAAGTATAAGATAACTTTAAAGTTTAAAATATCAATTTAAGAAAGTTGCATAGATCTATAACCTTTTTTTTAGTGTATCATGGCTCCGTTTCAGTCCGAAAATCTGATACCATAGATTGAGTGTAATTTATCTACGTTTATATTAATGTCTGATACTTATTAATAAAAAAAAGTCTATGGTTGACGGAACTACAGTGACGTCCCCAGCCAAAATTTTTATAACTATCCGGCTATTTTATATATCCGACTATGTAATAGCCGGCTAAATAGTGAACTAATTAGCAAATTCCTTTTGTATGGAATTTTGTATGAACGCTGTAACATATGAGTTAGATGATGCGATTTTGACTTTTTTATTTTTTTATTCAACAAATTTCTGCGTAGTTAATATTATGTTAAATATATTCATTGGTAAAGAATATTTTAATTTTGTTTATAGTGGTGCCACTTATGAAATGTGTTAAGAAACTTTAGCCATATCAACCGTAATCAAATGCATCAACTCAAAGTCTAAATTCATGTACATATAGTCGATGTCGCTTACTCTTATTGATAAAATGAATTTGATAACATTCATTGATATCACTATAAATGAAAAAGATATTTTTTTTATTAACAAACTAACTTGCAGTAACGACTACAGAGTATTTCATTGAAAAAAATTAAATTAATTAATAAAGATACAAATACGCAATATTGGATTATTTAACTTATTTATTATTGCGCTCACTGCAATGGACCGATCGAAATCGATGCAATACAGCCGGGTAGTTATATAACTAATAATGTGTCAGCTAGCATATACTATCGGTTTGGACATTTATTACCAACTATGACAGCTAGCACAGCTATTGATAAGAGATAGCCGCGTAGCTACCGTAGTTGGCGAACATATGTAGTTGTTGCCAGTTAGAGATTAGTCGTTGCAGCACTATGATGTGCTTGGCACTCGAGGATGGCTGTAATCAATAGGTGGCTACGTCGATGACAAATAACTTAGTTGCGGCTATTTTTATACATAACTGCTATATAGCTGTGAATTGATATAGCTATTTCAGTGATGTATATACTCTGTGGCGCTGTATTACCATCTTTAGACATACTCTGTCTAATGTATGTATTACTATGTCTGCTAAGGATAACCTATAATTTCTAATTAATAGCTGTATATTTAGCCAATAATTAATACGATATTTTAACACAAAATAATTAGATTGTGTATCGTTTCACCATTATACAAATAACGCAATACAGAAAAATTGTATTCATTCAGAATGGCAGGGTATGAGATACGAATTGCTAATTGCAAAAAAGTGAGTAACCTATTCTAATTAATCCACAATATGATGATTCTTATGAAATGTTTACAATTAAACTTGTAATTACAGGGAAAAAGTTTATTTGCAACAAAGCAATATGAGCAAGGAGATGTTATTTTAGAAGAGGATCCCTTGGTATCCTGTCAGTTTGCATGGAATGCTGCATACAGATATTTGGCATGTGATCATTGTATGAGGTCAATAATTACATTAAATTTCCCAAATCTCTAAGCTTAAATTTTAAAATAAAATTAAAATTATTTAAGTTCAGACTGACCTTTAATGGATAATTGAAACTTTTTTAACATAATTCAGACAATATGAATGTTAATTTATTAAAGGTAATGCACAGTGAAACTATGTACATATGGCAGATTTACCTCGGTATGGTATTGTCTACCAGTCAACCATTAGGCAAACCGAGAAATAAGTAGGTGATTCATTATTAAATTGAAGAAACATAAAAGTAATATTTAATATATTCATATATTATAAACATAATTAGATTAATATAAACATATACATGTGTTAAATAAATAAATATACAAATAAATATATAAATGTATAAATATTAATATCACAAACAATTAACTGTATTAGAAGAGCAAAAGAAACAATCTATGACTCAGAGTAACCAGCAGGGTTAAGTTTAAAAGGAAAGTGAAAAGAAATAATAATAAAAGGGAATGATGTTTATAAATCTGCCTTTTTTTAAGAAATAAGAGCACAATTTATGTTTAAAAGCTAGTTTGCTTTGGGAATATTCAGTGGCGTAACAATAGGGTGGCAGGGCTGGCAAAATGCCACGGGCCCCCGACCCAAAAGGGCCCCAGCTTAAGAGGCTGCGAGCTCGGAAATATATATATATACTTTTTTTTTTACATTGTACCTGAGTATTTTATTTTACTTGAATAGTATTTTTTTACTGATAGGGCCTCATCAAAAGAATTTGCATCAGGCCCCAAATGGTATAATTATGCCACTGGAAATATCTATAGTTTATTTCAATAGAATGAATGAAAACTAACTGACCTGACAAAAAGATAGTCTGCTGATGTCCAATAAAAATCTATCAATTGATTGAATATTTTAATTTGTTATTAGTTTCATTTGAAGAGTATTTTTGTGGTAATTTTAACAAAATTTGGTCACTTTTATATTTTGTTCTGTTGAGTAGAATCACTATAATGTGCAGAGCAATATGGAGTGCTGTAGCACAGACACATTGTAGCATGGTATTGGTATAGTGATTATTGAAATTATACAAAAGAAATAATAAAATTGTATTGATTTTTATTATGAGATTTACATCATTTCCAAAAATCTTATTTTGTTACCCATTCCTATAATGCACAGAATATAATAAATATGTATAGAAAATATAGAAAATTGATGATATTTGATTTAGTTCTTAATATTATAAGCAACAAAATAGGTTTTTAGATTATTAGGAGACACCAGAACAATCAGTCTACATATATCTGTTAAGTTTTATTGGTTTCTTGTCTATTGATTAACTTGTTAAATAGTTAATAATAATAAATTGCAGGCCATTAGAAACTCCAGAACAGAATGTCAGAAGGCTGTCATGCAAACCTGATATAGTTTTACCACATTCAAATTGCTATGAGTCAAACCTTGAAAATGTGACAACATGTGACCATTGTGGTGTGCTGTACTGCTGTGAGAGTTGCAAACAGCAGGCATATGTTATATACCACAGAAGTTTGTGCCATGACATAAGTGATGTTCAGCATCCTGTCATGGTTCTCTTGGAGGCTTGGAAGTAAGTAATACTTTATATTGGATTAATTAAAAGAAAAACAATAATATTAAGACCATGGGGGTCCTCAGTAAATTCTTTTTATGTCCATGGTTGTTCTTTTGGCAGACTATCAACTTGTTTGCTATTCCATGCTGTATAAAAAACTAGTACACTAATATTTATCCCATAACTTACTTTTCCATAATGAGTTTGTAATAACCAATTAACATTCCACTCGGAACTTTTATCAAAATTTAATATTAGTTTATAATTATCATAGACTTAATATAAGGTTATCTTTCAAGTATTCCTTTTACCAACAAATATCTGACAGCTATTAATTTGTGCCTTTTGTTTTAATTGCATTGGTATATTTATGTTTTGTGTCCTTTAGTTGTTTCACAGCATCCTGGGGATGAAATGGAGCAGTAATACATATTTCATCACCACATAAAATTCAATTAGATAATAATAATAATTAGGCCTCTTTATTCTTATACCCATAGGATAGTTTCAATTTGCATTATTTAATTACATATAGTTAGTACTAGAAATCTTAATATGCAAGTTAATTATTAGGTAGGTGGACATGAGCCCCATATTGGGTATAGGCCTCCTTTAACAAGTTCCATTTTTCTTTTAATTCTGCTGTATTCTTGTAATTTTTCAATTAAATTAGATAATATATTTTAATAATTTCCAGGCAAATGCACTATCCACCAGAAACTACGAATATATTGTTATTAGTAAGGATATTAGCATACATACAACAGAGTCCTGACCCAACAGCTGCCGCTGCCAAAATCAAGCAGTTTTGTCATCGTACAGTGAATGAAGATGCTGAGCTGGTGCACAAACTACTGGGAGATCAATTCACTGACCAGTTGAATACACTAAGAGAGTTGACTGCTAACGTTATCAGTGGAGATCATATTCAGCAGGTTAATATAAATTGTCTATTATGTTAATTTGGCTTATGCTTTAGTGTAAGATAAGGAATTCAGCTGTAAAGTGTATTGTTAATTGTTAACAGAGGGAGACTGAACAAAAGTCGATTGCTTGGGTACCTCTGTCCCATTCATGTTTCAACCGTGAACCAGTGGTGTTTGCATGGCTGTGTTTCGGTTTGAAGGGTGGGATATGGCGTGAATTTACTTGGTACAGAGGAATAACATCTGAGTCCTCAGGAATGGCAATTGCATGGGGGGTATCATGGGCGAAACAGTATACTGTGTTATGTCCATGGTACTGCTCATGTCTATAGGCGACGGTTACCACTTTTCATCAGGTGGGCGGTCAGCTTGTGTGCCATTCTAAGTTGTGTAAAAAAATATATAAAAAAATATTGTTTAATATTATAATTTATTATATTTATGTTCATAATAACTGTTTAAGTTGGTCTTATATCTTTATATTTCCAGTTTCTTACACCAGATGGTTTCTGTACATTAATGGCACTAATTGGAACCAATGGGCAAGGAATTGGCACGAGTCCTCTAGCTATGTGGGTAAACAACGTACTGGAGCTCACTATGTCTGATGATGAAAGACAACAGCTTGATCTGTTTATTGATAAACTGTATCAATATGTTGAAGAAGGTTAGTTAGAATGTCTTTCTTTTTATTTTATTATTCCTTTTTTTTAATTTATTTATTTATTGAATAAGTAAAGCAAATTGTGAGCATTAATTATTATAGTCCTTATATGTGTGCTCAGATGAGGCATGTGTAGTAATATGTGATGTATGTTTTGTGGATGTTAATTGATTGTAGTTTTAAAGAGATTTTTTATTTAATTTTGAAATTTCACTTCTATAGAAAATTATTTACATAACTGAATTTACTATAACAAATATATGTATGGGGTAACTCTGCCCCATTTGTGTTTCTGTCGTAAAGCAGTTGTGTTTGCATAACTGTATCAGTTCATATTTCATTCATATGAAAGGTGTGGGTGACTGTATATGTATATGGTGGTAGTATACTATATACTTTGTTATATATATGGTACTGTTCATATCTATAGGCAATAGTTACCACTTTCCATCAGGTGGGCTGTCAGCTTGTTTGCCATTCTAAGTTTCTTTAAAAAAACAAAAAGTTGTAAGTCAGAAATTGATTTTTTATATACTTTGTGTTATCATGTAGTTATAATACTACATATGTATAGATATTTATATTTTTCTTTACTATTTTTTCAGAGTCTGGCACATTTTTAAATACAGAAGGTTCGGGTCTTTACCAGCTGCAAAGTTCATGCAACCATAGTTGCGTACCAAATGCTGAATCTTCATTTCCATATGGCAACCATAGGCTACAATTGAAGGCATTGAAGACAATCATGCCTGGTGATGAAATATGTATCAGCTATTTGGATGAATGTTCATTACAAAGATCGAGGCATTCCAGGCAGAAAGTAAGTATGATAAATTGTATTTGAAATACATAACTATGGACTTCATTAACTCGAAGCAGTGTGTCTTATGCTAACCTTTTTATTTTGTACTAGCTTTTTTTTCGCTGTTTTGTACGTATAGATGGCATATCTAGATTAAATAATACCAGCTTTTAAGTTAGATCTTCAGGACAGAATAGAAAACTATATCCAAATTGACGCAGTAGTTTTGTATGGTGCCAGAATAAACATACAGATGGACAAAATTAAAAAAAATAATACTCTTTTGGCATCTAATGCTTTTGTTAAGACTCCTTTATTTTTTTTACGTATGTCCCATGTATAGTCTCCATTCCTTATGGTAATCTATGGGGGAGGTCTGTCCAGATGTGGATGGATAATGACTGAAATGATGATGATGATGATATCCCATGTACAGACGTCGTCTAGTTAATTTTGTTATATTAGTAAGATTTCTTGTGAAGTAGAAACGTTAAAATTTATTATACATCAATATATTTACGTCAAATCTTTATGGAGTAGACATGTAGATAAATGGATGATAGATTCACTAAGGATAGATAAGTATTTATCCTTAGTATATCTATCATTAATTTTTTCTATTTATTATCTTTTTTTTTTTCATAAGCTATGTAATATTACCTTGTTTTGCTTCCTTACACATCTCCTTTCATCCACTTAATTTCCAAAGAATCGTGTTTAAAGAATCAAAACATTTTTCACTAGGAATTGGCGCAGAACTACTTGTTTGTATGCTGGTGTGAACGCTGCAGTGCTCAATCCTCCCAGCCTGATTGCACAAGTGAAGAAGATATGAGTGATGAAGAAGTGGACGCAGATGACTGATGCTCCAACTTGCTTGCCCTATGCTTGTTGGGCATATAATGCAGCGATGGACTGTGATCTTGTATGTGCAGTGATTCCACAGTGTTACACTGTAGTTTATAGATCAATAATGTGCTGCATTATTAAGATACTGTAAGTTAAAAGTCAAGTGAAGTGATACGGCACTATTTGAATGAACTACTAATGTGCTATGTAGTATGTATAGTATTGAAAATGTATAGTTTTAATTGAGATGGTAACATTTAAATGTTAATGAAGCAGAATGAAAATTACGAGGATGAAATCTTAGGCTTTTAAAAGTATAATGCATTAATTGATTGATGTATGGGTAATGTTGAGCTTGCTTTATGCAATATTAAGTGCCAGTTAGGTTTCACAGGTTCATTCGCGTGATACTAAAATGTAACTTGGCTGGACACGTTTCCGCGTGTCTAGATTAAATTAAAAATGTAGCCTAGTATGTTACTTGCAGTGTGGCTTTCTATTTATGAATGAATTTGTTATGGAGTGAATCGATTTGGTGCTTCCGAATATTTATTAGGGACTACTGATTCGATTCTTATAATTAATTTACATATGTAACAAACATAATTTACATCTATAATATATATTGATGTAAATTAATATGTAAACATCGATTATATAAATACTATATTATATATTTCGTTATTTTAACCGCAATATTATATTTTAGTGAATATCATGTTTTGTAACTTCATGGCAGTAAATCGGCTGGACTGGTTTTGACAAATTATATATTATTTCATTCGTGATGTACCACTGTCACTCTAAGCAAAGTGGCAAACGAATCTATCAATAGACATTATCACTATCATATAAAGTAAGTAGAAGGGAACAGCAAAGTCTGGCGTCTTGTTCTTTGTAATGCATGCTGTAACGAAAATGTTCCTACCGATAAATTCGTTTGAAACTTATCTAAGAGGCCAGGGTGTTTGACACTTATAGAGATATTTATGTGCAAACATACATAAATACTGTTATTTAAACTATAGATATATGTATTTTTTTTTTCAAAATTATTTGGTTCGCGATTAGGAGATGAGTATTAAGCTTAAGCGTCTTAGTTGACTTAAGCTGCGATTTGATACAGCATAAATCTAAATATATTTTTTTGACTGATTATTTTTTAGTACTTTTAGTATATATTTTTTTATTATGTATTTTTATCATGAATAAAGGACTTCAGAATGGAGGTTCTCAATTAGACTTTATTTTTTTATGTTTAAGTTTTATAATATCTTCGTCAACTCTGAATGCATTTTCGACCAAATGTAGTAAATGTGTTTAGTTTTAGGAGTTAGTCTATGGCCTAAATTTAAAATATAAATATTTTGGTTGTTAAAAATATTGATAGTGGGATCCTATTTAAAGCAATTTTACAATAAGTATTAGACTTTTTAGAATCTAATTCCAATAGAGTTTAGATAAAATTCTCGATTGGCCAAAATATTTAAATACCATTTACTCTATAAAGATACTTGAATAAGGACCATATTTTATAAATAAAAAAAAAAAAAGATGTTATATTATTTACTACTCGTATGTTCATATAGATATTTATTTTTACAGGTTTGAAATAAAAAATTACTACTAATGCTTTAAATGTATTAATATTCTCAGTTTACAAAAATTAATAAAAAATGCACGGTGACTAGGTAGTTAGTGGGATGCTCGGAAACGCAATGTTTTAAGATTTACTGTGGTAGTAACTGTAGGTTTGTAATTACGCGCTGGATTTGTCATCGAGACACATAAATGCTAAACCACGCTTTGGAATAAGCTCCTAGTAGAATTATTTACGAAACGATACGACATAGTAACCTACAAGAGCATATTCCTTTTTAAATTGCCAGCATCACTAATGACAAATGATAAAATTGATTTTAGTTCACAATGAGTTATTGTCGCACTGGCCACTATATGAATTTATATTTATATTGAAAGTAAAATATAAATTTTAATTTTTATGATAAGAGAGAATGAATAGATTAACATTCTGTAGGGCCCAGTCGGCCGTCTTCTGTGATTTCACACAATTCTGACAATTCTGATCGTTTATTATATGGCCATAATAAAATGCCTAAAAATGCACATTAACATTTATTATTCGAGATTGGCATTACCCCATTATGTTTGAGTCGTGTTTGGATCGTACGCTTTAGCAATACAATAAAAAAAAGACAACGACAGTATATACCGAATGTAACTATTTATTGTGATAGAATGAATTATGTAAATATGAATTAAATATTACAGGTAAAGATATAAATGAAAAAATAAAAAATGGACTTGAATTTATTTTAATTTTATTTAGCAATTTTATCTATGACGTATGCGTGTGCTTCGTATGATTGGGGATTTATTGTTGACGATACCATCTGTTAAACTAAACCTTATGTCTTATAATGTAAGGTTTAATTTTCTTTCACTGTTTAACGTCTACTAATGGACGTTGTATTGAGAAAGATTTGATATTCATACATCTTAAATGTTGTTGTTTTCAAGACGCCATTTCTAGACATAGATATGCACACAGGTAAAAAAATATTGGTCCAAATAAATATAATACAATAGATATCTATGAATTGTAGAGGGGGGCCTACTAAATTTAGCCTATATAGCAACTGTTTAACATATGATAATGAATAATGTATTCAATATGTCAAATTATTGCAACGATAAGAGTATTTTCGGAATGTTTGTAGCTAAGTGTTAACTATATTTAGATGTTTCTATGTAGTATAGAGGTATGCTCGCACATTCTATAATTTTCCATTCATTTTCCTTCCATCATTGATGAAGAAACTAGTTGGCATTTTGAATTTGCCTGCTTTATAAATTATCCTAGCTTTCTATTTAAAAAAAAAAAAAAAGTTGCCGGCCTTTTTTGTGAACACATTCTTTGCGCTTAATCGAATTAAACTGATGTAGGAAAAGTTTATGATGAATATAGAAACAAAAATATGTATTTGTTTTTGTAAAAATGTATTTACTTTATTAATTAAATTATTTCAATAGAATTTAATCAGTAATGGATTCGACTATAATGCCCAATAGTAGTACAAATAAAAAAAAATATTACATAAATAGTCCGATTTGTTAGTAATTTTCCTGATGAAATCGTTATTTGGTAACCGTTTAAGGGAGTGTTTTGCCGGGTAAACAGTAATCTTCAAAGAGACGTGAGTCGAAAATAGACAAAAAATTTGGACCTCCTATGCAACGCGTCCAACTATTAAGTTAGTATGAGAGCTCGATATTTCGAAAATTTTCGAAATAATAATAATTTTTCTGAAAGAAATATGAGTTGATGTTTCTTCCAGAAAAATAATTATAATTGAAGCTAATGTGTCAGTCTAAATTATTAGAAGCCTTTTAATGATTTAGGGGAAAATCAACCGATAGGAAATGATTCGGATTTCACACTGCTGATATCCGACATATATAATAAATATGTCTGTGTCTGTATATTAAGCACAATTTAGAGTACATCCAAGAAATATTGGCATTTTAGATATTATTAATGATAATAATTCTACTATATAGAACTACCATACAAGTTACAACGCTTTGAACTAATATGTAAGTAGATTATAATATATAACCAGGGTACTGTTATGTGCCAAATATTTTGGAAAATAAATTTCACAAACATTGTCTTTTGTCAATTATACATTGTGGTATTTTATTAATACTGTCTTTGATAATTTACAATGAGGTCATGGTTAGAATTCATAATATTACTGCACAGTTATATTACAAAAAAACCCAAATTTCTTATACGAACGATTCACTTCAATTTCCTCAGTTATGAAACCTATAATTGTAGTGTTTGTATTTGTTTGTATATATTGAATCTCTGAACGTATCTCTACCTTATTTTTTATGTCATTTTTCAAAATAAATTTTAACGTTTCCGTATGGTTATTAAAGAGTGCTCTGCTAGCAAATTAAATAATATTGATGCATACGGTTGTTACAACTACAGAAAATTAAAACATTTAAAATATTATTTTATTGTTTAAAAATATTTATATAAATTTAATTTTAATTTAAGCACAATTATAAAAACCTCTCTAGTTATGTACTGTTATTATTCATAATTAGTAATATACAATAATGTATTAAATATAAGTCCATTACTGTTGGATGCGTTCAAGTTTGTGAAAATATTTAATTAGGTATATGTGTGCTTTTATTTTTTTATGAATAAAATGCTTACATACCTACTACGTTTATTGTCATTTATTTGAAATTCTCAAATCTAAGTTCTCAGAAATGGTAACGCGTGAGGAGTAGCATGGGCAATATTTTGCGTTATCTGTGATATTGTTCATATCTATGGGTCAGGATTACTATTTTCTACCAGATGGATTGTCAGCGTGTTTGCCATTCTAAGCAATTGTTACTAAAAAAGCCTAGTGCTGTAGTGAATACCTTCTTATACAAACATTTATATCTATTAATATGTCTGTATTTATAAATAAAGTATATCTGTCTAGTACTCGTAGTACAAGATTCACTTAATTTGGGTGTAGGACTATCGCCACATTCAGTCAATCTTCGGTCGCATATATTCAGTGAAGGAATGCAAATATAACAAATTTCATGCAATTTGGTACTGTTGGTCACGATATTTGGAAGGTTTCTCAATATGTAGATGTAAAGCCATGGAACGTTCGCGTCTGTCCAGTCATCAGTGCCCTGAATATTGGTAACGTGGTAGTGAAATTGCATATTTTTCATTAACATTTAAGTAAAAAAGTTCTGTTTGTGAAATTTTGAAGAATTGAAAATCTTGAATCGTTCGAAGAAAAGTAGGTTTGGAGAACTTGGGAACTTTTTTTAGTGACAGTTATTATATGTGTAAATCGTATAGCGGTTTGATTGCCGTGTGGTCCCGGCGTAGAATGGGTCACCTATTTCCTTTCCTGTGAGTGTCGTAAGAAGCAACTAAGAGAATTTAATGGTTGAGAGTTAAAACGTCACCAAACTCTTAACTGCGGTTACTTGCCAGAAGTTACCTCACTTGATAGGTAAGCTACCTATCGAGTGAGGTAACTTCTGGCAAAATAAGGAGGGTCGAGAGGCTTATGTTCAGCAGTGGACAGTTGACGGCTGATATGATAGCGATATGTAGATGCAATAAAAAATTTCAGGGAACAGCAAAATATAGGAAACAGTCTTTTTTTCGTCGTTTACTCTATAGTTACGAGTACATAGAGAAACCTAGTGAAAATTGCCACAAGTTTGTAATAGGGTAAAAGCGAAGGAAATTATATTGATTTGGAGAAGAACATATTTGACATTTAGGTAAAAATCAAAGCTAGCATCTGGCAGCTCTGGTGATAATTGTTTATTCGACCGTCGATCTTCGGTCGCCGATGATACGCAACCGAAGGTACATTGAATGTACTTAATAATAAAAATATTAAAAAGTAAACTCTCAATCTTAGATCGCTTGACTGTGTTCTGAAGTCTTTTGATTGTTGCCCATCGCCACATTCTACCATCGCAGCGTTCGCCATTGATAATGAAATCATCTCAATATTCCCCACCCTAGTCCATTTATTTTTCTACATCACGTAATAGGATTTTTTACTTAAGGTTGTTTGACTGCTCATATCTCTATCGTTTTAATATAAAACAAAATAAAAAAAAAAAAATTTTGCCAGTAAAAGTTACAGTATTTTGATTTTTAGTTAGATAAATTTTTGTAATGAAGTTCTAATTCTAAAGTTCTTTTTATTATTACCTGTAAAATGTTAATAGTAACTTTCCATAGATCAATAAACCCTTTTCAAACATAATGATTTTCTAGCTCGATTTAATTAAGTAGGTACGTAGGTAGATACCTATCTATGAAACTTTTAGATGTAGCTGCAATAGGTATTAATTATTTTAATGATCAACTTTATAAATTGAAAATGGCGCGATGTATTTTCATTTATTACGCCAGTCAGCGGGTTTTCTTAGGGAAAATTCCCTAATGAAGAGTGTTTCAAACTTTTCGTGATTTCACGACCGGGTGCTTCCATTCAATGCGATTCAAAGAACACAATATATAAATTCCAGATATAATGGATGATTTCACGTTATTGACTTTTTAAGGTACATTATATTGCTGTTTTTCTGGAAGATTGTAATAAAAATTGAATAGTGATATATTAAAATGAATATGGGAAAACATAATGACTATAGAATTATTAAACATTTACTTAACTTATTTATAATTTTTTTCAAAGCTATCATGTTAAGTAAATACTATACGTAGGTAATATAAAAAGGTTAAAAATGCATCGTAAAAACTATTAACATACTGAGTTTTAAGTTGATTTTCCCCATGTATTCTTGATCACATATGGCGCTAAGACACCATGGGGTTTTAACCGGAAGAAGTTTGATAGTATGTGTTTCCCTTGTGGCGTTTGGGTCTTCATAATCGCTTTTCCAATGTAAGGTACACCTTTGTACTTTACGCTAAGTTTGTGTATATTTTTTGTAAGTTAATATTTTAATTCCTTTTTCATAATTCAAACTCTAAGATAGGCTGAGACTTCTGGAGTTTAAAGACTATTATTTAATTTGTGTTGATATTTAGAGATTGTCCGAGTACATACCTTGATTATGGTTTAACGAAATTATAGTTAAGGTTACACTAGTGGGTTCGAGTAGATAGGTAAGTACTATTAACAAAAGTATTGCTGTAGGCACTCGAAACTTAGCTGGATAAGCATCTCTAATAAATGAGTTATTGTATAAACGATCTTTGTGTTTTATTAGTAAGTATACTCAACTATCGATAAATCAATTAAAACAAGTACCATCTAAAATGTAATTACCCAAGTTAGTTTTCAGTAAATTAGAAGTGATGATGAGTTATTCATTTATCCTTAGTAATTTTACTAATGGGATAAAATTTGTTTTTTTTTTTATACAACTTAGAATGGCAAACAGGCTGACGGCCCACCTGATGGAAAGTGGTAACCGTCGCCTATAGACATGAGCAGTACCATGGACATAACAGAGTATACTGTTTCGCCCACGATTCCCCCCCAACCTTGCCATTCCTGAGGACTCAGGTGTTATTCCTCTGTACCCAGTAAATTCACGCCATATCCTACCCTTCAAACCGAAACACAGCCATGCAAACACAACTGCTTCACGGTTGAAACTCGAATGGGACAGAGGTCCCCAAGCAATCGACTTTTACACAAAGTCTCCCTCTGGTACGTACGAGTATAATAATATAATAAAATTGTAACTATATGATGTTTGTACATGGAAGATATTTAAGAATAATTGATATGAGGGGTTTTAATAAGAACAGTAGAAGTCATAACGATAATTTTAAGAACTTTTGTTTGTCTGTTTGTTTATATGTTTCTTCCAGCAACTAATGAGCAATTTGGATGCAATACATATAATTATATTCTTCAAAGTTGAATTTAAAAAATGGCGTAGGTATGTTTTATCTTGATATATCATATCTAAGTGGTCAGTTTCATTTGTTTTTCTACTTCTGAAATTCACGCGTACAAGGTAACAAACAAAACGCTAGTTATTATTATAAACGAGAAAGTGAATTTATTTGTTTCTCAACTCTTAGTGTCTTTAAGGGGTTTTTTTTTTTAATGGATCATAATAGAATGATAACCCCGCCTGCGCTTACGGTATACATTGGCGAGACATCAGTGAGGGTTGATAGGTGAGAATGAAAAGGCAGGTCAGTTAGCCAATCGTGATGAATACACCAGGAATTCTGCACAATGGTTTCCAGGGGGGACCACGTGGAGGTACATCTGGCAGGGTATATTATCAGCAATGGGACTGCTAGTCTGCATTACTAACAATAATTTCCTCCCTAGTCTTATAGGATAACCAGTTATA